CAACTACTGGAAAAGTCTCCAAATTTTTCTGCACATGCCATTTACAACTACAATCTTTACATATATATGTACAAATAAAGATTGTAATTATACATGTATCAAATATAAAGTAACTGTGCAGATATTTTTAGAGAGTCTAGAGTTTGAGGTTATGTTTACTGGGGGCAGTCATGGGCTGGAGGTTAGGGAACCAGCCTTGTGACCGGAAGGTCGCCGGTTGGATCCCCTAAGCCAACAGTATGTGACTGAAGTGCCCTTGAGCAAAGCACCTAACCCCCAACTGTTCCCTGGATGCACCGTGGATAGGGCTGCCCACTGCCCCAGGCAACTGTGCTCACTGCCCCTTAGTGTGTGTGCATTCACTGCCCAGACTTTTGCATACAACTATATAATCTATGTAGCATTTGATACTGACTTACTTGGAAAAATGACTCCAAAGTACAAGCATTTATTTACAGTTCCAGTTTTAATATTGACATTACATTTAATCACATTCATTGTTATTGTACAAGCCTTCCTCTTCAAAGGTTTATATGACTGAAAATAACATTCAATATGGGGCATGCCTGTTTTGCATTGTAAGGAGGAGGGAAGGGTCAGGACTGTAACTACAACAGACTACTGAAGTGGACATCTCTTTGTACAGAGACGATGATGCATTGTCCATCTAATGAAATGAATTTCGATGCACTGTTCTTCCTACGATTCGACAGCTGTGGCAAAAGTAGTGTGTTGCGTAAACGAACACAGGAAAAGCTGACTGCCACCGCATATCCATATATATGTTATGTACACACACAGAAATACATACTTACAAGAAAATGTAAATACTGTATACAAAGAAAGCAACTGGAAAAAATTTTTGAAATTTCAAGACAAAACAGTAACACTTTTTTTTCATCAGCGAGGATAGAAACATCAAGTGTAAATCGCCGGAACTGGGCGGGTTACGAGTCCGTCTCTGTGTGTTACATTCATACAGAGAGTAAGACTGTTCACAGAGCGTCAGGAACAGCAGGCTCTAGCACAGAGTCCGTGCACGATCGCCACTCTCGTTCTCTCTCTTACTCTGACACATTTGGCACACATTCACATTAATGTACAGTACGTCACAGTCATTGAGCTCTGCCTAAGCCTTATTAAGACAATATATAAGAAGCCCAACTGCCACATAAGTCACTCAGTTTTCAGTTAGGTTTCCTTCAGGACCCTCTTCAGCTGAAAATTCATCTCAGGCTTGGATGAAAATAGAACTATCACTTGATGAATGCAAATCCCAAGTATGACATTGCATCAAGGGAGAGGTACATAGTTGTTTTGATGAAAACATCAAACAAGTCAACAAGAAAAGTCTAAACAAAGACTGCAATTAAGTCACTAAATACTTGTAACTGTAAATGCTAAGTGAACGTTGAACACTTCTTTGTAAATTTTGAAGACTCGTACTTTTACAGTGGGATTTACAATGATTAAGGATCATTGCTGTCCTAATTACATGTTCAGTGCAACTAGTCTGGGTCTAAAGTGCAACCCAGAACGAATGAGATTCACAGCGAAAAGCTACTTCAGATTTACCCTGATATGGAATAAAATTCATGATAACCATGGAAAACTGAAAAAAAGACAAATTAAAAAAGATTCATAATCCAAAGAGGCCTTACACAATCAACGTAAACACAGAATTCTAAGATATGTGCTACTGTATCTTAATTTCCCCATATGTTAACAACAATACATTTGTTTTCAAAGATTGTTTGGCAAAAAAAATCACCTATGGCACAATCAGGTTATCAATGATCCCACTTATCTCACAGTTAAAACAAGTACAACCTCCCCTCCCCCACCCCAAGCCTGGTTTAGGTACCCACAACACACGTATATCAAGACAAGGCCTGAGAAAGACAGCAAACCTAGTGCTGATCAAGACCTCTTTGAAAGGTGGTGAAATCTGTGGATCTTGCCACAGATCATCATCTTTCACAACTTAGACAAACTTGTATATGACTCCAATATCTGTTATTGCAAAAATGTTCTTCACACCACAATACCAAAAATATAGATGTTAAAACTAGATTGACTCTCAAAAGTTGAAAAGTGTCCAAATATTTTATCATCGCATTCTTAGAGTACATTACATGTACTGTAATGTACTTGTGTGAGTGTTATATGTTGATTTCGTTTGGCTTAACCCTCTAACAGCTATACTGTAGTGAGATGCAACACCCTACCATATAGAAAGTTATGTCTAACTAAGCTGCAGGGATATGTATTACATCTGTTCTAATACATAAATAATTCATTTTTTGCATACTTAAGTTTTTTTTTCAATTTGGCATTCATTATGTGACAGATTATGAAAATATAAACTTCAAATGTCCAACAAAGGGCTAAAGAGCTAAATAAGCAAACCATATTCCTCATGGTAGGTCTACAGAGTTGGTTTTACAATATGAAAGCTAAAATGTGGCTGTATATTTGGTAAAAAGAGCTTGCACCCAGTACAGTATAGCTGCCAGTTCCAATGTGAAAAGCCAGGTCTACATCCCTGCCCAGCTGAACAAAAAGGAACTACAATACTGTTTTCCACCTATTTTCCAAATTTTCACATACATATTTCTGCTTTAGCACTTCTATAAATGAGTGGCAAGTGCACTACCAGAAATGTCTATCTGATCTTAATTCTTAAAATGTTAAAATAGTAGAAGGTTATGATTGGGTTCTATGAGGTACAGAACACCTATCCACTGACTGTTTACATAAGAACTGTAGTCTATTTACATAGTGATGAAATTTTGAAAAATGGGTGGAAACTCCTCAGTAGGCTATATACAGTGGACACCAGTGACTTATTTCAGACAAACACAAATTTTAAGGGTCTGGTTTCCTATCACAGATTAACCCTAGTCTTGAACTAAAATTATACCCCCAACTAGGATTCTCTATTCTCTTGGACTAGGCTTAATCTTTATAGAGAAAACCATTAATCCATTATCCATTAACATCCCTGGAGCTTCTTCCTCCATTTATCTGAACATTTATCAATTACAGAATTCTAGTTATCATCCACATTAGTCTTTTTCACAGTATAGTGCAAATATATCTGCAAGGCAACACATACAGTAGGCTACTTGCTACTATAGGTGGAACAGACAAATATGAACCCTGACTGGAGTTCTGTCACTGACATTGAAACATTCAGAACTAACCAACAGATATGAAGTAACAAACAAAATCCTGATATATCCTTCACTGGGATGTATAAATGGGATTTCATACGGATTTGGTAAACATATCTAAATCATCAAGGTTTTAGCCCAGGATAGCTTATCATCCTTGTGTAGTTGTAGAGTACAGCTGCATTTTATTTTCAGTTGATAGTTAGCCCTCAAATTCCACATTCACCAATGGCACATGATTCAGTTATATATTCAGCTGTTTGGCACAATATGTCACTATAATATTTTAGCATAATTAAATATAGTAATTTTTCCTTTTCTAAAAACGCTGTAAGAATGGCAAGCTGGATTCTGTGGTCTCCTTCATCGCCTTTAGTATCTATTGTAAGACAATTCATCATCTAATTAATAAATATGTCATCTACTCTTGTCAAATACCAAAAATAAACAAATCAATAAATATATAAATAATCATAAATTAAACAAATAAATATGATCTGCCACTTAAGGCTTGTGGAATGACATTTTTTTCTTCAGATATAAAAAATAATGAATGTCCTTCCCTCTGCATATGTATGTCTATGATGCTTTGCACAGTTTTTCCAAAAACATAGATTTACATAAATACACACTCGTGGACTTCTTTGCACTTCATTAATACTTAAAACATCACAGATAAGTGAATACTTCGGGGGTGTGGGAACAGCAGTCAGACTGTAATCTTTCAGAGTTTTTCAAACTTTCCTCACCCAATCTGCACTCCAACAGACAAAGAACTCGCTTAATTAAAGTGTACACTTTCATCATCAAATTTATAGGGGTGTTTCCTCTCAAGGTGAAAACACACTATAAAGAGTTTCGATACGCAACATGACCTTCATACAGGTCACCAGCATTACTGTGTACAAACGAGCTTTGACACACAGAACTCGGAGCAGAGACTCGCTAGCTGAAAAATACAGCTAATCAGTTACAGAGCAGTTTGTGACCTAATCTAGATGCAATTTTTAAAGGTTTTTATCTTTAAACACCCAATCGTGTTTGGTAAACCCTTCACATTACGATTCGAAGCCTTGGTTTAGAAGGATTACTAATTGAAATGGATAATATGAGAATTCCTGAGGATAGGATATTCTGCGTGTATCAAACTGACATTCAAGTACTGAACAAACAGTCTCTTCTTTCTCTACATACAGTAGCTGCACATAGGAACTGTAGAATTTCTTTTTAAATCAGGGCACATACAATAAAATCAAAATGACAAAAGTGATTAATATTATTCTTAACTGAATAATAAAAAAACATGCGAGTGCATTTAATTAGCAAATTCTACTCCGCTACTGAAACAGTTCTTGTTCATCAGTGTTCTTTCAGAGGGTGGCACTACACAGATTTCAAGGAACTCCTGAGATTCACTTACATACTGGGAGCTTATAGGCAGAGATTTGCCACATTTTAGTGAGCAATTCATAGGGTTTGTAATATATCCTGCAGACTACACGATCTTATAGTTAGAGCCATAGTTTTACTATCTGCTGTATGAATTAAGGTGTATGCAGACTCCAGATCTGTCAGTAACTGAAATAACCGCCCTTCGTTATCATAACACAACATTTCCACTTGAGTATAAGAAAATATACTCTTTTTTTCCTCTTGTTTTTTCCTTGGAGAACTTTTACTTGTACTTTCTAGTACCTATTCCACAAGTGCCCTCAAATAGGGCAGCATTATAGATACATTCGTGTGCTATCATGATGTTACTTTTCTTGATTCTGCTCAACTCCAGGTCCAGAACCTGGCTTCTGATTGAAAACTATGGTGCAGAATTCTCTATGCCTGGATCACCAGCGTCAAAACAAACTATGGACCTAATAAGCCAGCGGTACCAAAATCCACTGTAAATCAACCTTTAAAAATTGCATTTACTTGTAAAACCTTTAGCTCGATATACACACTTTCGTCTGACCGTATCGACAAGAAGTAGTTGGTATGAATGTACACGTGCCAAAACATGTGTGTGGCGACAGACATTCCAACACAAACGAGAGGATAACAGTAACACCCCCAGAGCTCCATCCTTACACCTTTTTCTGCTCTCACCCATAACCTGCTTCCTTTTTCACTCTTTATCCCTCTTACTTTCTTTCACAGAGGCAGGTCGGTGCTGTTGTGGCGTGTTTTCCGCGAGGTGCCATCGTCACGGGGCAGAGCTTTCTGAAGGTTGGACATGGCTGCGGTCTTCTGCAGGTCAATCACGGCATAGCACTCCCCGCGACGTGAGGGTGGAGCCGCCGCAGCAGCCATTCCGCGCTTGAGGGGAGGCGGTCTCTGTGGCACCTGAGCCCCGCCCCCTCCGTGTCCTGGGCAACTGGAGCCCCCTGCCTCCAGATCCACCTGGATGTAGTTGAGCTGGCGAGAGGGGGGAGGGGGAGGGTGGCGGCCATGCTGCTCGTAGGCGGAGCCCCCAATTGCGCCCCGCCCTGCCCGCTGCCGGCGGAAATCAAAACTGAACACTCGGCCACCCCTCTCAGGGGGGTGAGGATGGGGAGGGCACGCATGACGGAGACGTGGAGGCTGTATCTGTAATGGGAAACAAAACATGTTATTGGGGTATGTGGGTGTATGTTTGTGTCATATTACAGAGGACTGGACTGTCTGTAGCAGGCACGTGCAGAGAGAGACGCCAGAGGGGGCTTGAGCCCCTGCACTTTTGCCCTCACACTGTCCTCTCTTGATCAGTGCATATAAAGGGTTTTATTCCAAAACGCTTGAGACTTTTAGATTTAGATTTTGATTTTAGATTTTGTTTAGATGTTATTGGAGTGGACTACACACATAAGTTAAATGGCTAGTCTCTACTGCCCTGTGCTTGGTTGTATGGTGGTTGTATAGGTGTATAGTTTCTGCATATTGAACAAAAGAGTTTATGTAGGGTTTGCATAGTTTGTCTGTATTTATTGCATTTATTGTCTGTCTGCATAGTTGTCTGCTGCTGTTCCATGTCAACTGTAGTACTGTGTTCTGGAGAAACTACACTGTGTTCCTCTCTCAGCACATCTGTGATGAGAAGAAAAAAACTGACTTTGATATTGATTGTGATTGAATACCACCTTTATTAAAGAAATAAAAAAGTGTTTTTCTTTATGTCATCTGTTATTCTTTTCAAAAACTTGTTATATCCAAAATTGGATATACAGCATTTTGGAACTAAACTCTTCAATTGTGTTTTATATGGCCACTCTTAAAGACAGGGGAGTAGAGCTAGTGGGTCGGCTCACGTTCCAAGAGCTTCACTGCTCTTGGGTGCCCCCTCAGGTGCTGTACGAACCACCTGTGGAGATTTCACCTCGGCTCCTCGATTTCACCTCGACACACCACCACAGCACTAGATATTCTACCAATAAAGCAATGATAATCTTTTCAAGAAAGTGTCAAGTTGCATGGCATGGTTCTTAACAAAAACAACCAAACATAAAGTCAGCAGTAAGGGGCGCTAATGTCTCACTAAACAAAGTTTTTGTTCTTGGAAAAAAGTTTTATGCCAGGCACTCTAGAGTGAAGTTATAGTGATGACATAGCATAGTGGGTAACATTATGGCCGAGTGTGCAGACGATTTAGGTACAAATTTCTGCTTTGGCAATAACGCTGTTATTTTAGGCCACCTTGTGAAGAACAGGTTCCTCTAGTGTTAAGTGTCTCTCTTGATATATATTCTGTAAATTAATTTTAATTCACTTTCATGTTGACCTTTTTTTCTTTCAGACCCTGCCTCCCAAAATGTCTGTGCTCAGGTCTGATCAGTAGTTCTGTTGTAGAGACAGAAATAAGCCGTATTCAAGCCTTATTGCATTAGTTCTACAAGTTGGTATTTTAATTTGATTGATTATTAATGAGATCCATGGTTTTAATCCACTAATTTTATTTATTACAGAAGTCCTTTGGTAATAGTTATCTTGTTTGAATTGACCTCAGTAATATAATAAAACCTGTGAATTAACACGGCTGTGCACGTGTTGTTATTGTTATTGAGTGTTGCTCCTGGGTCATTGACATGACGTTTTTTTTTAAATCCAAGTCCATTATTTTCCCAAAAATAATTTAATAAATACTTGGGATATATTAAATTATTCAACAATGTTATGTATATTATATAAGTATTATATTGTTTATGTGAAACAATTTTTATTGCATCCATATAAAATTCATTTTAGTTTCTTTTTGCCTCCAGAACTCTAAAAATGTCAGGTGGTTCAACCAACCAACCAGACCCCTTCGCTGCCAAGGTCAGGAGCCCTTTCATAAATTTTGGAAAAAATGTTATTTTTGAGTCCTGGCTAGCATGGTTCAGTTTAACTTGTCAGGTGGTATGACCTCAGGAGAACCATGAAAACCTGTAACTATTACAATAACTTTTATTTATTCAAAAAAAAAAGTTAAGTATAAACTCAAGTTTAAGAAGAAAGGCTTCTATGGGTGTCTAAGTAGATGCCTGTTTAATTTGATTTAATTATTTTATTTATTTTAAAATAATGTTTATTTATTTAAAAAATTGTAAGCATAAACTCAAGTTCAAGGACAAAAGTTTCTACAGGTGTGTAAGTAGGTGCCCGTTTAATTTCAAATTAGTCTGAAAAGTCAGGTGGCACAACCTGTATGTCAAATGGTGAAACCAGACCAGTACAGTTTTAATAACTGAAAGAGGCGATTAAAAACTTTGATAACATTAACTATATTTAAGACATAAAATGCATATATGCAGGAATAAAAATGTAATTTATCCCTTTGTCATGTAATGCTGATGTGTACATCCAGGTTATGTAAAGCGATTTGGAGAAGTTACTGCACTCTTAAAAAATCTGAAAAAAAAAACATGATTTTTGTATTCAGTTGACAGATCGCTCACTCACTGTCAGTCATTAAAGCAATGCTTACCTAAAACTTTTGAAGTAAAATTTTTGACTAAATTAAAATATATCTGTTGATACTATTGGTTATCAAAATTTTTAGCTTCTTAAAACTGCTATCAGCATCGGTCACAAAGTAACAGTAATCCATCTTAAATAACAGATCTATAGACAGTGCTACGTGTTCTGTTAATGGAATGCATTTCCCCACCTGTTCTGTGTTAACATAGTTCTGCAGAGCATCGCGATGAATCCCACCGCTGCCGCCGGCTTCCTGATGATATCCATTTGGGGTCCCAGGACCTTCTGAATATTCATATTCATCAAAGTCCTCCTCCTCTTCCTCCTCATACTCATCATCTTCCTCGTCTTCGTCTTGCTCCTCCTCTTCCTCACGCTGAAGGGCACGGTACTCCCACACAGGCGGAAGTGATGGAAGGTTCTCGTAGTTGAGCAGCGCGGTGCGGCGGTGACCTCCGAGCCCCGTGCCCCTCTCGCAGCCATAGCCCTGAGGGGGCAGCGCGGAGGTGTGTGTGTGTGTGAGTGGGAGCGAGTGTGGGTGTGTGTGTGGGTGCGTTTCGCCCGTGGTGCTGCTGCTGCTGCTCGAGCCGACCGACTGGGACTGGGACACGCTGCTGGGGCTGAGCCTCTGCCTGCGTCCCCCTCGCAGTCCATTAATGTTCTCGTACGTTAGCTGACTGGGCTCCATGCTGGGGTGCCGGTGCAGATGGTGGTGGTAATGGTGGTAGGAGTGTGTGTTACACACGTGCATGGGCGGAGCCTCCTCCCCCTCAGTCTCAGAGCTGCCATCCGGCGCTCGGAGCGGGTGAGCGGCGTGCCGATCTCTCTCCAGCAGGTGGCGCTGTGCCGGCGTGGGACCCAGCATGAACTTTACCTCCTGAGCTCCAGGCTGCAGGAACACCTGAGGGTCCTTGTGAGAGTCGTCCATGGGGCAGCAGTGCAGGCTGGCCTGACCAGGTATTGGACCCCCACGGCCGACGGAGGCGGAGGAGGCCTCGGGGAAGGGGGTGGGCCGCACCTCTGGCAGGGAGTGGACACAGTGGCGGCTGGACAGATCACTCTCCATACTCACTGTGTTCACATAAGTATGTGTCTGCGAACACAGGAGAAATGGACATAGGGTTAGTATGTATGCATGTATGTGTGAGTGCCATGTTTTTTTTCAACATGTAAAACTTATAAAACTTAAGTGTGCTCTCTGTAGGGGATGTAATTTAAACAGGGGTACTTTTGCATATGACTGTATGTTTACTATTTGTGGCTGGTGTCCCACCTAGATCTTTGCAGTTTTCCTTTATAGTAGAGTAATACTCCTGTTTTGGAATTGCCCACAACTAGGTGTAAACGCCTCATAAAATGTGTTGTGATGGCAAATAGTGATGTTAATGAAAGCTCATTATTTGATTGTCCTAATTATAACTATAACTATTTACTGTGCTTTTGATTGAATTTATTAATTCTGCCACTGAGCGAGTGACATGCTTGAACACTGCCTGTAATAAAGTCAGATGTGCCCTTAATTAAAGAAAAAAATAACTATGAGCCAGATGTATGTACGAGCACTGGCACAGTGCAAAATGTGCCTTGATGTGAAAGCAAAATGTGCCCACAATGTGCTGAATTTATCATTCAATTTACTAAGACTTCATCCTATCATGCAAACCGCTTGCAGGCTCACCCACTAACTGTTCACTCATAATTTAAAAGAGGCAGTGGAGCCGTCATCAAGCTGGAGACAATACAGAAAACGAAAGTTCACTAATGAAGAGATAGCGGTGCTAATAAATAAAGTTTTTTCTCACCAAAACATTCTACAGGGGTGTTATTTTACTCTGGCTAAGAAATGTTAGTAAGAAACAATAACACAGCCTGCATGCACATGCACATATTGTGGCTGCATCCTGCATATGTAGCCAAGTGGTAGAGAGAGTTCAAACAATGGTGTTGAACCTCTTTGAGCTTGTGTGCATACAGTGTGTAGGATGTGTATTTGCCTTACCTGGTCATCCATCCCCATGAGGCTGTGTCTGTGGTCATCAGAGAGAGTGGGCTGTGATGAGTCTGCACTAACAGGGTACCCAGGGTATCCATTAGGGAAAGCCTGCACTGGGAACCCAGGAGCTACAGTGCAGAGACACACATACAACAAAGGGTTATATTGCTGATCTGGAGGTAAGAAAGAATATATGTTCATGTTTCTTAAATATAAATTTAAGACTGACTATTAATAGTACAGAAACTGATTAACCCATATGGCAAAACCTGTATTAAAGGGTAAGGTCACCGATTTCTGCTTACCAGGTCAGAATTGTTTACAGCAGTTGTAATAGGAACCAGACATCAGTGTCTGATGCCTCTAAAAGTGCCCTTGCAGAAAGTTATTATATTAAAGGGTTATAAATACACTGCCTTATGCCTGGGACATGGTTTCACAATATATAGGGTTTTGGCTTACGATGTGTTTTTTTCACATACTCGGGCAGGAGGTACATGGAGGGCATTATAATGGAAAACAGTTACTAAAAAAACTTTTTTAAAAATTTGATTTACTATTATTTAACCATATCAACATTACATATAACAACTCAGAAGACGTGATTTTGGATAGTAAATAAAATAGCTGTATTTGTGTTTGGACATCGTGACCCCTGGTTCCTTTCACCACCACTGTAAATAAACTTCAGCTTTTCTACAATGGTGTTTCAAATCAAACCTCTCTAAAAGACTTTGTTTACATCTTAACAACTAAATTAATTCTGAAAAACCTTTGATATTAGAGATCCTGGACCTCTATTATTTTATATGATATCCATGTGAATCTGTAGTTTTAGGTAAAATGCATGAAATTCTGGGTTATTTACAATTAGTTACTCTAATATGCATGTTATGTAGTTGCTCTACACCTGAAATGCCTGAACATCATTGATGATAAATGTTTCTGTCACATCTGCTTTATAATTTTCTTATTTGTGGGGAATTTATAAAACAACAGCAAAAAAGGGGGTTATATAGATTAATAAAAACTTCACATAACTGTGTATGTGTTTGAGGTTGTTTTCACAATTGCCTTGGTATATTTGTGTTAGTACAGTTAATATGAAAAAATAACACTGTTGTTCAGTTATTGATACCTATAAGTATCAATAAGTACATTCAACAAGTTGAACAAAATGTGAGTATGTGAGAGTCTCACTGTTGGGTGTTTGTGGGGTTCGAGGCAGGTCCATCTCTGGTGCGTGGCCAGGGCGGGTCATGATCATGGGCTCCTCCACCACATTAATGCTGTTGCACTGCATCAGCTCCTGCAGCAGGTTAAATATCTCCTCTGCACGAGAGCATTTAAATGCAAAAATCCCTGCAATAGCACAGAGAAATACACGTTTGCTTTACACATTCATTGTATACACAACTTCAGCAAGAAAACGGAACACATGCATGTTTAACTTAAACAGCTGTATGTCTAAACTGTACATACAGGGCAGAATAAAAGGGGTCTGATCTCACTAGCAGAGCAATTGTGTTCTTTAGACCTGAGAACACCACACTCTTCAGCTCATTTTTCACCGTTCATCACTAATTCTGGCACTAGGGTGCAGTAGAGTAACACTTGCTATAGTACATTTTGTAGCAGTCTTTTCTCCCTCTCACAGGTAAGCCAAAGTCACTGTCTTTTGATTTTTGATATGAACACAATCAGCCTGAGCTATAAACAAGAACAATCATCTACCTTGAAGAGCACTGCAATCAATTAGCAAATACATAACGGTCATTCCACAATTCGTTCTAACCAAACTTAAAAAACGTCTGCTTGTTATGTGTTTTCAGAAATGAGGAAATCATCACTTGCCAACCTTATCAGCCCAAGAAAAAGAAATAATCCTACATCAATAGCAATAATTCACATAGTCTCAAGCTAAGAATTCTTGGAACATCCAAATGGTTGCAGTGAATATTAAACTTTAAGTCTGATGCAAAGCTGATTCTCTGGCAATAAAATTGTATGTGTTCTTCAAGTGAAGCCCATGCATCAATTCAACATCTCCTTCTGAAAAACTTCAGTGCTCGTAGTTTTCTCATTAAAAGCACTGATCTACCATGTGCCTGAGAGATGAGGTCCAGGTTGAATGTATCAGAAGATTACTGAACACACCCTGCCCTGTCTGGCAGCGCCGGCCACTCTCGAAGGAGAAGAGGTTGGAATCGTATCCGTAGCGCCGCAGGCAGAGGTATGGCCACCGGATGGCGTCCCGCTTGCGTGTGTGCAGAATGAGCTCTGTTTGGGTGAGCTCCATCGTCCCCGATCCCAGCTCATTCCCTTCATCATCAACATTTGTCACCTAATGATAATGACAGGTTATACAGAGATTAACCCCTTACATTCTTATTAATTGGTTATTCATCTTAGAAGAATACTCCAGCATTTTTCCACTTAATCTCAGTCTGCTGTATTTGTATTGTTCATTTGATTCTTCAACACCTGCCCACTGGCTTCAACTATAAGTGTTCTGATTCAGTGAGGATTCTGTTTTTTAACTAAGTTCAGAGAAATCCTCTGAAGTCTGGTAATCGGACAGAAAATAGGCTAATAAACACTGGAGTACTCCTTTATGGTCTAATATTTAGTAACTGACATAGTTACTAAGTAATTATATTGGCAAGTACTCTGTAACTACTATGCAATTAATATGCAAGACATGTAGTTATGAGACAGAGAAACAAAAGTTTGTATCTGCTGATGGGTGAGTTTAAGGGGTTACAAATAAAACACTACAAACTCTATAGTCCATCCCCACCATCTTCAAAAAAATGCCAGTAATAGCATTAATAAGAAAGGGGCTCTATATGTTTGTGTAGCTTTTCATACTTTTCTCCCTAGCATGAAGTTATCCTTTTTTACAGTCATATCAGAATCACTATTACTGTGCTTGTAGCTTATTTGTATTTTCAAATTTGGACACTTTATGAAGATTGAGTTTTTTTTTAATGTAGCTTGATTGTTTACTAAAAACATGTGTTTTTGAAGCGTGTACCTTGAATTTGGTGGGGTGGTTGTCTTGGATGGCGTCTCTGTATAGACAGCTCCAACAGCTCCCCATAGCTTCAGCAGGTTAGCTGAAACCTTTCACATGAAGCAGTTACAGTTAAAGCATTAAAGAGAATGTTCCGAAACTTAAAGCAACAAGCGGTTAGTGTTCAATACACTGCTACAACAGTAGAAGCAGTTATAATTATAATAGCTGATTGAATTATACCAAGACAAAAGAAAGAAAACCTTACCTGGTCCAGGCCATCAGTGGGAGTGATGCTAACGTCAATCCCAGAATCCTCTGCTGGGTGTCATGCTGGAGGAGGGGTGTGCTGGTAAGAGCAGCAGGTCCCAGCGCACAAATGTTTCATGTCTCCTGACAAACGGAGAAGAGAGATTCCTCTGAGTATACTGCCCCCTTTTTCAGATATCCATAGCTCCGTGTGCTGTGATTAAGATACAGAAACTTAAGTCAATCTGCAAAGCCTCCCCAGGCTCCCCCTGGATGTGAAGTCTAATTACTTTACATGATGTTTCTGTCTCTCAAGTGGTACACAGGCTAAGGCTCTGGCTAGTGGATTATAAATGTAGCCTATCACTCGGTTCCTCGGTCAAAATACACCTGTCAGGACTTCTACGAGCCTCCATCTACTGACTTCTTCATAGTTTCAGTACCTAAAAGTTTAGCACTGTTGAGCTCATCACACACATAAGAATGCAGTATCATTGAAACTTTATTTTACAAGTCATAGCATCCTAATTCAGACTTATGTGACAACATGAAACTGCTGGCCCTTCTTTCTAGTGGGCAATAAGGAGGAAAACTGTGTTAATGAAGACTTTGCCCACAGTGATTTGATCATCGTGGTCATAATTATCTATATCTGTTTTGGAGAATGGCGTTAGTTACTTAGAAATATTGATTGTTTCATATATTGTTTAGCGTGTTATGGTATATCTATTTCATTATAATGAGAGAGTTGCAACAGTCGCCAACGGTGTCACAAATAAAACCTAGTGGTTTACGGAATGCAAAACAACACCAAAATTGTCTATCAAGGCCACTCGACACGAATACAAACTCCATCAGGTGCTTTTTGCATTTTCTGAATGCAAAATAAATAACTGCAGGAAAACTGTTGTTCTAAAAATACATAAACTGTAGGCTTTATTTCCAGTCATAAACTGTAGGCTTTCATAAACTGTAGGCTTTATTTCCAGTCACACTTTCCAAAACAACATCTGAATTGGACTGACATATAGGTTTTCTTTTAATAAGCAAGCTAGACCTATTTTTACAGTTTAATGGACTCAGAGTTTAGCAACAGATAACTCTGTAATATAAAAGTATTTGCGAGTAAGTTGTGATTCAGTGATATCACAAAAAGACAAAAAAGAGCATTTTAGCCTTACTTGTCATTTACTGTTATTTATGGCCGGTATTTTAGGCTTACTTGTCATTTACTGTTATTTATGGTCATGATGAACATGATATTCACATATTAAAAAAAACAGACCTCCAGTTGAGAAACAGACACAAAAGACTCAAGTTATGGGTTTATATTGAAATAACTCTGTACTTTGATATCAGTGAGAAAAAATATAGCCTTAAAATGTAAGAGTATTTTTGGTTTTGGAGATGACAAATTTATAGTGTGTAAAAAAGGAACAACAGATGAGCAGCACAAAAAGTAGCACCAACAGCAACTCTTTGCAACCACATATAACGTTATACTGCACTAGACTTTAAAGTGGTAGGAATGGGAGTCAATCTGAACTTCAACACAGAACCAAAACTCAGATTCAGCAGTGAATAATGGAAAAATCAAATAAATTCAGAGTTGATAACAATCAGGTAATCAATTCAAGGTAACCATGAAATTAAAAATAAATAACAAAAAAGTCTGATTACTTTCCTCACCACTATTAGGTAAAAGTATTATTATTTGAAATGCCCCACACAAAGTGCAAATACACCAGTGTTACTTGAGCACACGCAACTGAGTGAGTGAATGTAACTAGTTTCCACCCAGCTCTGATGAGAACGGCCCAGTCCCTGCCTAAAATCACTGAGCAGGCCCATCACTGCTGCACACTCACACCGTCTAAACCTGCCCGCTCATGTAAATGTGCACAAACCGGTTGATAGTAACGCAGGTGGCGGTGCTCTAAACGTGCAACACAGACCGCAATCATGCCTTCCACTTTCATTCATGTGCTATTCAGTCACCGTGCGTAGGGGTTTGGGACAGAACAGCGGGAAAGGATATCCTCGGTTTAAAAACAATCCTAACGTGCAGTGCAGTGATGCTAGGGTGAGCCCGGTGGGTGATCTCGTGGCTCCCACGTCCGTTCATATCCAAAATCAGAAGCGCACAGCATGGGCTTCTGCTTTTAGCCTTGCTTGGAAGAGCCGTGTGAGAGCGTGCATGCTACACTACATCGCATGCAGGGCTCAAGTCGCTCGCCGCCACATACAGCAGCAGCAGCAGCAGCAGCAGGTCTTTCAAATAAGAGCCAAATGCAATGTGCAACCAGCATAAAAACGCGGAGCTGTGAGCTCAAGGTTACGCAATAAAACGAGCTATTAATTAGCAGTCTCGCGCCTGGCCGCCCGCTCTGGCAAACGGTTCTGGATCAAAAATAAATGAAAAAGAAAAAACCCTCATGAACGGTTTTTGTGTCCGACATCGACAGAAATTTCTTAAAAAAGAAAGGGAGAGCAAAAATGGCTTCTGAAATACCATTCTGTCTAGAAAGCAACGCAGATTTAGTTCACGAGACTGAAAAAACCCAAACCAGCTCGGTTTCTGGCAGCAACCATAAAGCGACTTGGCTGCCGTTTACAGAGGAAGCTTGAGGCGAGCGGCTAACGTAGCCCTCTGCTGCAGCTGGATGCTAGGTACGGAGAGAGCGAGCGGTGGGGCTCGCGGGGGTTTCTGCGGCGCTACGGACGCTCGCGGAGCTCCGCTGCAACCCGCACGCGACCGCGAGCGTCTGTAGCGCTGCGGAAACCCCCGCGAGCCCCGCCGTCGCCGCCGCTTTGCTACTCACATGGTTGGCAGCGGCTGCGAATCCGAGACGGAGACGGAGGGGAGCGCGGCGGCCGGTGCAGGGGGAGGGAGGGCGGCCGGCGGCTCTCGGAGCTCGCGGTGGCGGCGGTGACGGTGGTGGTGGTGGACGCTGGTTTAGGACAGCGCTTTTGGGGAGAGGTTTCCTCTGCTCGAACCGGGTGGGAATAAAACAATAACGGCGCTTGTTTTTCGCCTCGACGCCCCCTTGCTGCGGCGCGGGCCTCTCTGTGACATTTCCCCACCAGCAAAGGGTGAGAGTTCAGGCAGACAACGAGGGCTGCTGGAGCGGCAAGAAGGTAGAAAGCGCTGGAGGACCCAGATGAGGTGGGAGCGTGTTTTTAGCATCAGGCGATGACGTGTTGGCAGCAGCTCTCAGTCTGAGCAGGCCCACCTTGCTGCTTCTAAGAACACAATCCCAACACAGGCCCCTCTGTCCTCACACTGCACGTCCAAACAGGTGTTTTTTTTCTTCTTTTGTCTGTTGAAATAAATCAGTTTCATGTACTAAAGTACATTTTGATGGATTTGTACTTTCCTGAGTATTTTCAAATGATAACGCTTTTACTTGTACTGAAGTGTAATTGAGAAGCAAGGAATCTACTTTTTACTCGGTTAGACTTTAGTGATTACTTTCTCTTTGGTGTGTAATTTCATTCTGCAAAGCATCTGTGCTGCTTTGGATTACCTCTGATCATTTTATTTTAGAAGCAGAGTACATTAAAAAGGGAAACAAGAGCCTAACAAACTTTGAAGTCTTGTGCTGATTAGAAGCAGGATATGTTAATAAGTTGAGCTGCAGTTCTATAAGTTGGTCAGTACTTAAAGTCGAAGTGAATTGCATGTCATAACGCATTTTCCTTCCTTACTGTGCCTTATTGCCAAGTGAATCTGGGTATCAGGAAGGGTCTCTACGCTAGTTCAGTGTCTTTTTATGAAAGGAGAGGGTTGGAGTAGGAGATGAAACATGATACGATATTATTGGTTAATATTATTTTCCCCACCTGCTGGTGCACAGTGACATAATCAAAACTCAGAACACAAAGTATGTGTGTGTGGGGGTGTGTGGGTGCGTATATATAAAATGTAAATTTTATGAAGAATGGACCAAAAGAAATGGGCCAAAATGACTCTACTTACATTAAAAGAAAAGTAGGTTTATTTCCTTTTCCTATATACTATATAGTCTGCTCCATTGTTCGTCATTCAGATATTTATACTGTTATAATATGAGACTGCATCTGGTGTTGCTGAAAAACTACTAAAAAGGACCACTGCATTTCTGGAGTGTTTCTTTATCCTGCTCCTGGTAACCCAGTATCCTGCATAGTTTCTGCTGTTCCCTGTTTCAACACAGGTGATTCAGCTAATGAGGGGCCTAGACATTATTTGATGAGCTGAGGGGCATGGAGGGCAACCACACTGAAATCTTTATTGGACCCCTTGTACAGATACTGACACAATTTTACACAAGTGTATAATTTCTTAACAACATACATGATGTCTATTTATCTCTCTTTTATTCATAATGCATCTCATCAGTTTTCAAACAAACCCTTCACCACCTGCAACATGACATATTCATTTACTATAATTTTTTAATAGGTAGTCTAAAGTAAATATTTAGGTTAATGTTAGATGCTACGGGTGGAATCTCATGCCATGAGTGCATCAATTTGTTAGAGACATAAAAGCAAGTAAACAAGCATTTTATTCATTGGACCACAAGATCTTGTATAAGTCACTGGTCACAATAAAGATTACTGTCAACACTGTCTTAAATCTGTGAAATGGTAGCTTAGGAGTAGCCAAAAACATGCTTAATTTTAATCAGGGGTGGAAAATACTTAAATGATTGTACTCCAGTGTATTGTTTGGGAAGACTTACGTACAGTTTACACACACACACACACACACACACACACACACACACACATATATATATATATATATATATATACACGTATATAGTAACGACCCGCTAGACCAGGGGTGCAGGGGTGTCCAGCACAGGTTTGTGATTTACCTGCGAAAGCACACCTGATTACACTCATCCATTAACTGCCTGGTTTAGTGGGTGTGGGTATTTAATGAAGAGCACTTCTTGTGGTGGAATCATGACCTACCCTATGTCTTACTCTATGCCGATGCTGCACTGGTGTCCGGGGTGGGATAGTGGGGTATGTTGGTGGTACCAGTGAGAGGGAGACCAGCAAAAGTAAAACTGTCGAGGGCTTCAGTGTGGGGACATCGCAGAGAGCAATGGAGCAGTTGGTGCCGTGGAATTGTGAAGAATGAGGGCATCGCAAACCCAGGCCAGCAGGTATATGGATGCCAGCCAGGAAGTTCAGTATCAGCTTCGGGCTGTGGGTTAAGTGCAGAGTGGACAGCAGACGCTTATTGCCCTAACCATCACAGGCTCGCCGATATCCCCAGTGTGACCAGTTTGCTCACACACACCAAGAGGCATCTCAAATGGCTGTAATGCAACATGCATCCAGCTCAGGTCATTCACCGGTAGCGGGCTTTAGTTTATTATTATATTTATATATTTATATATAAATTTATTATTTATATATATATATATATATATATATATATATATATATATATATATACACACACACATTTGGATAAGTTTAAATGTAGACACTTTTTGACATTCATTTACATACTTATCCTTAAGTAAGATTTTGGTACTTTTTGACCCTGGGCGTTACTGATGTTAACACGTTACTGTAAAGAGATTGTATTCCAAGTCATTTTGGACTTTTTTGGAACATTTTGGAAGATTCCTGGTGCCAGTGGACTGCAAAAGTTGGTAAAGGAGCATGTTTACCACATTTCATATTAGCAACACTTAATAATTGTTTGGGTACCGAAGACGCCAATTAATCCAGTTTTGAAAGGTTTTTTCTATTCACTCCTTTTTTTAATACAAATCTTTACATCTGGATCGCAGTCAGGCCAATCTAGCACCTGCACACTTTGATTGCACAGCCATGCTGCTGTAACACATGAGAAATGCAGTTTGGTGTTGTCATGTTGAAATAAGCACAGATATTCCTAAAGAAGACAATGTCTAGAGGGCAGCATATGTTGCTCCCAAAATGTGCATGCATTGTTCAGCATTAATGGTGCCTTCTCAGATGTGCTGGTTACCCATGCACTAATATGCCCCCCCCGATACCCGGACAGACTTTTATGCTGGGAACTTGATTTTTTCTTCCTCCAGCAATCTCTATGATATGATGTTGGAGCACAACCAAAACCTTTTCTTCCTATTCATAAACAGTCTGAAAGGTTGATTCATCATAATACACACTGTGCACAAGTCCATTTCAAAAGAGTTTGAGCTAAGAGAAGTTAAGTGTTTTGGACGTTCTTGACATAATATGGCTTATGATGTGCATAAAACAGACTTAACTTGCATTTGTGGATGCAGAGACTAATTGTGTTTATTAACAGTAGTTGTCAAAGTATTCCTTAGCCCATGTATGATATCCATCACAGAGGCATGCTGGTTCTTGCAGTGTGGTCTGAGGAATTGAAGGCCACGGACATTCAGTTAAAGTTTTCGGCCTTGCCCAAATTCCTCGAATCTTTTGATGACATTATGCACTGTAGAGGGTAAAATATCTCCTTGCAATTGCTCATTGAGGAACACTGTTCATAAACCTCCGGATTATTTGCTGACAATTTTTTTGGCAAAGTGGTGAACCATGACTCAACTTTGATCATAAATGACTGGATGCTCCTTTTGTACTGATTGCATCACCTGTTAAATATGCTTTTTGAACAATTCACAGCATTTCTAGAGTTAAGTTGCCCCGTTCCAACATTTTGGTACATACTGCAGACATCAGTTCAAGAATGAAGTTGATAACAATGAAATTGATGAGTTAAACATTAAATCTTGTCTTTGCACTGTGAATACAGGTGAATGTGGATTCACAAATCACTGTTTTCTGTTTTTAATTTGCTGTCCCAACACTTTTGAAATTGAGGTTTATATTTCCTTTCTTTTTTACAGAGCAGGGTTCACACAAACTGAAGCAGTTAAACAGGTATATACCGGCCTGCTGAAAGTGACAAAACTAGATTGCTGAAAACAAGCATTACTAACATACTTTTGGGGGCAGACAGACTAGACTGCAGATAATAAAAGTTTTTTTTTTTGGTCCTTTGTACCATTTTTGAACATTGGGGGAGGGGTGGTGTCTGGTTGTGAATTAATACTTAATGCAGAACAGCAGTGATGTGTGAGTTGTATGAACTTTGAAGTGCAATTTTGTGCCCATATTTGTCACTAACTGTGACCCACAATAGGAGTTTGGTTTGAATGTTACTACCTAAGCATTTATTTTAAGACCTTGCTAAACTGGCATATGGTTGTATATTTTAACCCCTTAAATGACCAGGACCCACTGGTGGATCCAAACTTTTATGCTACACTTCTGTAACTTAAGAACTACTCAGTTTGCATTGTAGTCTATTTAGTTACTGAACAATAAGCCTTATTGAAGCCTGATTAAGCATAATTAAAATAAATTAACACATTGCTACCACTATATTTTTAATACGCATCTCCATTTCCTGGTAAATGAAAGTTAATCCCTTTATCAGCCTTATTCTTGTTCCTATTATACATGTTTTTCAATGGTTCCCAACCTGGTCCTCAGGGCCCCTTGGATAGTTTTCACCCCTATATGTTACTAGTTGGCTTGGAGGAAAAATGTGAAACGTCAGAAGGGCCCCCAGAAACGGGTTGGGAACCACAGCAATATTCCATATGGTAAAATGAGCCCTCCAGTAGCGCACACTGTGGCCATCAAGGTGTAAAGGGCTGCAACACAAATAATGGACATGGAGAGACTAATCTCACATCCACAACATAAGAATTCATTAAGTAATAATGAATTTAATCTAACTCTTGCACATATTGAGCATTACAAATTCAGAGCTTTCACTTTTGCCTTGTTAGTACAAAGTGACTGTCTGACTAAATAAAGTAGCAAAAGCTTATGAGAAACGTGAACTGTATTGTGTATGTTCATTAAAAGTTGCTGCACTGGAAAGACTTTTTCACAAAAGTAGGTGAAGGTGCTACTACACCGTGCAGTGAAGCAGGCCAGTCAACCGGCTGCTCCAGGAGGGTGACTGGTCAGAGGAACCTGGCAACCTTTATCACAGATAAAGAAAACAAAGCACGTTTTTGAGTTTATGTATTACACCGGCCATGAACCTGTTTACTCAAACCAAAGACATTAAGATTTATTTATATAGCACCTGTCACAAAGTGCTTCACACAAAATATAAAGGGTTTATGAAGGGTTTAGACAGCATGTGGGACAGACAGGGGGAAAAACAGACAAGAAAAACGTGCAATAAAAAATAAAGAAGAGGAATAAGTGATAAATAAAGGACAATACTTCAAAAGGAAGGAAGTCCACAATAACTAAAGATCCACAAATTAGTAATCAGAACACAGTTTGAAACAGATATTCGCTTTAACTCAGGAGGAGGCTCATCTTACAACACTGAGTAAGTTTAAACTCGCTCTCTTCTATTGTGAAACCTTCATTCATAAACTAGGCTACATCCGAGTACTGTGTGCACAGCCTGGGATCTACAGTTCACAAGCAGCCATCAATAACCCAGAGAAATGACGCTCTACGTATTTTCGCAGATCTTCAAACTTAACACTGACGCACAAATGTCCCAGACTGGCGTGCAGCTGCGCTACGCGAACGCGCCGCATGGTTTAACGATCAGCGGAACTGCACACCTGAGAGAAAGGAGCACTAAACAAACGCAGCTTCGACTCCGCTGTAGCACCAACAGCTCCTAGATGAACTCTCTACACTCCGCCTTACAGCAGACACACACCATATTACACCAGACTAGAAAACACCACCGGTCACTTCTGCGGTTACGAAACTCAACGGCTATGGCGGCTCGTTTCGTAAATTCTTACACGCCCACTGCACTGTTATCTAAAAACTCAGGAGGACTCCAACGTCATTGCGGTCGTGAGGGCACCCTAACCTTTTGCTGGGGACTTGAACTTGTCACATAAAGGTAAGACGACAAATAAAACTGTAAAATGCAAATATATATATATGTCACAACGAATATATACTCTGTTTGTGTGCGCGAACTGCTAACATGCTTAACGCTACAAGCTAGCTCACCTTAGCATAACCTTGCAAGGAAGCTCTCACAGTAACGATACACAGACGTGATGTAACTAACTTGGCAAAACGTGGCATTGCAAGGGTTAACCTTCCTACACGGTACATTTATAATACACTCAATTAGCACAAGAGAAGATGCGTGTTTCTTAGCAGATTTGATAGTTAATCTCATGTTTTCACGATTGAAGTTTTCCCCGAGCGTTCCAGTATACAGCCATGCCTTTCTCTTGCACCACGATAGTTTACATATATTAATGGTGTAAGATGTTTCGCGAAATAAACCGACTGAACTTTTTAACCATGCAACTAAACGAAAAAGAAAGTAAATTAAATGCTAGCTAGAATGTAATGCACCAAGCTAGGGAGAAACATGTTTACCCTAACTGTGTAAGCTGATTTAACAGAAATATGAAGTCTTCAGGCTACAGATAAATGTGTCTTTATATGTATCTACATTTAATATGAAGCACTCCCAGTTTTCATAATACATTTTTATACTATTTCTCATTCAGGGCACTTTATTGACACTGAGCAGATCACAGACCGTTGACAAGTTTTCATACACTGGTTAAGATAAGGATTTGGGTTGGGCCGGGGAGTTGGCAAAAGGCAGTTGGTGCGCACAGAAACAAATGGTAGACCTTATTCTCATTGTGGGTATATATAAGAGATGACTGTCCCTCTCAAACCCAAACACAGCAGCTGAATAGGACATATGAACAAGTAACTCTTTCATGGCAGCATGGTGTCTGTGAATGGATTGACAGTTTGATGAAGCTGTATTTACTACCATTCTATAGAGCAATCTCATACCATTAAGGTACAAAATTGGTGGTTTTTGATTCCAGTTTGGGAAAACAGTGCATACTGCACGTTTTAGCATTTTCCCTGCTCTATCATAACTTACCCAACTCAAGCCCTTGAGCAAGATGTAGTAGAGCAAAAAAAAAAAGTACAATCCGTGGGAGCCATCTGATATCAAGATATGCACCACCATTCTTTTGCTTAATAAAGTGTGAACTAACAGCCAGTTAAATGAATTGGTTGTCTTATCCAGCTGTCTCCTGCTGCACTTCAGTCTTAGTTGCCTGGTATATGATACACAGCCTATTCCATAAAAGTCAGGTGACCCTTTTAATGGGGAAATGCTTTGCTCTTCAGTTAGTCCCTGTCTACACGACAACACTGAAAACGGAGTTTCTGAATATCTTCAGCCAGGAAGAGGTTTTGAAAAAGTGACCAAAAATGCAGACAAAATGTTTGCATGTAGCCAAAAAGGCCAGAACGCATAGAAAAGCTATGTTTTAAAAAATGTGGACAAGGCCTTTGTCCACCTAAAAAATGCTCATAAAGACTGTGACTGGATCAGGTATTAGATAATTAGGTTTGGTAGATGTAGGGGAGCACATATCTCATGCTGCCTGTTCGTTAAAAAAAAAAATTCTCTTAAAAGGATTTCAGTGACGGACACTTGAAGAGATGTTTCTGGGTCTTTCTTTGTTGTAGACATGTGGATTCCATTGTTGGGTTTTACTGCCCTACCACATGTTGGTGGGATCTATGGAGGTTTCATCACAAGAAAAGAGGTGAAGACCTGGTATGTTTCGCTTAACAAGCCGTCATGGAGGCCACCTAATGCTGCTTTTCCAGTGGTGTGGACAACTCTCTACACTGGAATGGGGTTAGTATATGCCAGGGTGAAGCCAATTATGTTAACTTCTTAAAATCAGTGCAGACTGGCTGAGCTATTCTTAGGTTAAATAGGTGTGTAAGAAAACTTTGGGTTTGTCGGTGGGCCCTGGCCATTTAAGGGATTACCGAATACTTCTGGTTTGTGTCAGCTCCTCAGGATAAGAGTTGACCCTGAATACCTGTCCACGTTATCATGATATTAAATAATGCAGATGTTTCATTACATATTTTAATAGGCATTTAGTATATTTTGTGACAAAACACCAGAATGTTAAACTGAACAAATAAATATACTGCATTGGATTTTGTAGCGGTTTTTCTCAAACCCTGCTTTTTATTAGCTATGCCAAAACAGTCATATAGTACAACTTTAGACAGAAAATCAGACTAGCGCTCATACAGTCATATGCAAAAGTTTGGACACCCCTGGTTAAATGACATGTTTGTTTCTAAGTGAAAATAAGTTAATACATCCTCTACAGGGGGCTTGTTTAGTTTTTAAAAATATGTTAAATTCAGCAAAGAAACAGTAATTGTGCATTAAAATGTGTTCTCCATTGAGGATGTGTGCTTATCTTCATTTGGAAACTCAACAAATTTAATTTGACCAGGGGCACAAAAACTTTTGCATAGACTGTATGTGTATATGTTTCACTGTTTGTTTACTGCTGCATTCCATATCACGGATATAGATTCAAGTAAATTAATGCCAGACTTTTTGCAAACCTTGAGCATAAATGTTTTATCTTTTTGCAAAATCTATCCTGAATCTCTACAGTCATTTTTGTGACCTTACTTTTGTTCCCATTTAAATAATACGTTTTTCTGAAACCATTGTTTTAGGTATGGTTCATACCTGGTGTGGAAGGAGTTGGGGGGCTTCACAGAGGATACTCTGGTCCCACTGGGGCTTTATGGCCTGCAGCTGGCACTGAATTGGGCCTGGACCCCCATCTTTTTTGGGGCCCACAAGATCAAACTGGTGAGAGTGTATGCTTTTCTCAGCTACATGAAGAGAAGCTATCATGTAACAAATCTTTATTACAGTACAATATTGCAGTACTCTAATGTTTATTGCACTTTGTAGTGTCTGGAGCTGCTGATTGGCACTGCTTGCTGTAATAAATACTACTAAGTAAAACTGTGATTCAGTTCAGAAGAAGCAAAATGATTAGTCATTACCACGTACTATACAACATGTCCTCTATTATTATGCTTGACATTTCTGTACTCTTCTCCCTGCAGGCCCTCATAGAGCTGGTTATGCTTACGGGTACAGTGGCAGCCACCATGGTGTCCTGGTACCCAGTGAGCCGCACTGCTACACTGCTCATGGCTCCTTATCTAGCCTGGCTCTTTTTGGCAACCTCCCTCAACTACTGTATCTGGAGGGACAACCCCGAGACTAAAAAAGACTAGAGTGGACAAAAAGGACACAAATAGCATACACAATTAAGAGGCTATAACTACACAAATGATGCCAGAAATCTGCCTTTGATCATATCCAAGTGCATATTCATGTGAGATTATCTGCTTAGCAACTGACATTTAATAAGTGTGAAAATTAGCTATTTTGTACTATGGTTTTGCATGCTTCTGTGCTCATTTTGTATCAAAATAACATTTTAATGACACTATGTAATTCTTCTCAATAAAAATCTATTAAACCTCAATGTAACATGACTCACTTCCACACATCTGTAATCTATAGTAGTGTATTTTTTTATGATTGCATAGCAAATTCAAGACTGAGAGTGCTCACTAAAACAACAGTTATGTTAACAGTAATCATTAACAGTGTCAATCTAGCCATGGTTAATGAGAACCCTTCATTAAATATGTACATTTCCTGATAAATTGTTAGCAGTTAGTGTACTCTTAGCCAATTTTTTTCATGATTTTAATACAACATATCTTTAATGGTTTGTAAGACACAGACACAAATTACATTAAATACTGTATACAATTTTCATAGAGTTACACTGCATATGAGGCACATGCAGTTGGCTGACAGTAACAGTGGCAATGTACAGAATGTATCTGATGTATTAATAAAATAACCGAAGAATAGTTTGTAAATGAAAATGTGCTGGAATAGAGCCTACAGTAAAAAATTACTGTTTTTCTGACTTCTCAGGAGATGCATCTTCTGGTTTAGAGGAGAATCGCTCCATCAGAGTCTTCCACAATCCTTTCTTTTCTTCATCCGTCTGTTGCATATTTCCTACGAGTGATTTAACAAAATAATCCTAGAGTTATTTGTAACAACAAACCTCTAAAATAGCTCAAATATTAGGCTCATGGTATCAAGTTGGTTAATACTGCTGTAATCATACAGTGAAGCCCAATTCCTCTCTCTTGTATTCTGTAAGAAAAGGTGTTGTCTAGTACTTTCATTTTGTACGTTATATATTTTTGTAGTGCATTATCATCTGCCCCAGACACAGTCAATTTTACAGGCAACTTCACATTACAATACTTTAATTATACTCGCTATAATAAGCAAGGCTGACATTTTCTGGTAAAAATCTGATATTTAACAAAGAAAGAAAAATGATTAAGCTTAAATCTCACCTGTTGCTAATAACATCCGACACTCTTCCACTGTCACACCTGTGAAACTTGTGTCTTTCACTCGTGGGAACTGGAAAGATGTTAGACCAAGTTAATTTAATCAACATGACAAAATATGAGTATTTTATGATATAAACATATACAACCGCAAGACTACTGTAATGTCACCTACAAATACTGAATAACTAAATAAAAAACAAGCAATGTAATAGTGCATCAGTTAACAGATAAACAGCCTAATTAAGTCAAATGATTCAGATACATGCTGCACATCCAATAATGTCTTGCTGGGTCATTTTAAAGTCCAGCACGTTTCCTAATTAACCCAGTAACCCTATTCTTTGTCAGAGGTGGCAGTGTTTCTTCCCTCTGGACAACTACATAGTCACGTTTTTGATGATGAATCTAACAGGATAATTTATCATAAATTCTCAGGGTAGGGGGAATTTTGTTTCGGCACAGAGCCAAAACAAAAAAGATTACTTTTTGACACTCTTTGGGTTTGCAACATGTACAGCTTCATGACATGACAAAACATAGAGTGATTAACCTGTCTGGCTTCAGACTCACCTTTTCTTTGTAAACATTGCTGTTTATTCGAGCCAAACTTTCATACATCTGATCACATTTTTCGGGGTCTGAGATCTGTAAGAAAAATGTTTAATAAAATATTTAATTACTTTTTATTTGTCGTATTATCTTGCCACGTGCTTGTTGGCTTGTTCTGTGCTATAAGGAAAACATATAAATCCCTTAATTTGGGTTTATTTTTTTTCTGAATTACTTTGTAACTCTCAAAAAACTTTACAATATTGATCTATAAAAACCTTATTGCACGTAGTCTCTTTCATCCATAAACTGCCAGTCAAGATTTACATGATATTTACCATCAACTACCATCAGATGATGTGTAGTACAGCAACTGTTCAGATGCTTCAGATGGCAAGTTCTAACTACCATAACAACTAGCGATGCATGATAATGACGATTTATAAACCATGAAATTAAAAGATGATTTAATATTATATATTTCATGTTTTTTTTTAACTGTGCACAGTATTGTATGTACATGGAAAATATCGCATATCAGCATTAGTGCATCCTAAACAGCAGCAGCACACAGTGAAGGGCAAGCAGTGCAGCCATCAGCTCGTTACGGCTGTAATGCAGCAGTAAGTTCAGTTCAGCTATTCAGACCGCAGGTCCCGCACACAAAAACCGGTACAGCACATTCAGTTAGCGAGCTGAACGGGGCTGTTCCAGATAAGAAGTCACTGTTGTTGTCAGTTTTTATGCAGAGGTGACAGTAACTGTAACACTGTCACCTAGTGTGCTTTTTTCCTCCAGAAGCTTCAAGGTTAGATTTCATTACCTGAGTATTTTCACCCTCTCTGAATGCGCTGGCCACTCTCTGTCGTAAAAACGTCCCCAAATCTCGGCCTTTCTTGGTTTCGTCTCTTGGCCATTCCTCACATAACTTCAGGAATCGACGGTACCTGGTGGCAGCCATGTCCAGACTGGCGGAATAGGAGGAGTAAAGTGCGGAAAGCGCGCAGGGACAAACCGAGCGGCGCGTTTATCGTTTTCTGTAACGCTTCAGGCTCACCGCTGGTTGACCCATCCGGCTTTCCGTAGCTTGAATGCAAAGCGGTTTCTTCACGTGTTTTGTCGCATCACAGCGGGTTTAGCATCATAGCTAATGCTTGTGAACGGTCGTTTAATTTGTCGTTCGTGCTAACTTATTTTCCCATCGAAGTTTTGTTACATTTTAAAGGAAATCACAAAAAATGAGTGGAGCAGGAAAGAAAGCAGAAGCAGGGTCTTCTGGAGTTCTGGGCTGGATTAGCTCCACTTATCGGTTCGCCACGGACAGGAACGATTTCAGAAGGTAAAGTTAGGTAGCTAACGTCAATTAACCGGCGTTAGGTAGTTAGCTATCTTAATAAATCCGGAACTTTGTAAAGTGTGTGTGTTCTTAGTTTATCCTGCTACCTGGATCAGTATAATTAGTGTGCAGTGTGTCGCGATTAGCCTGTAAGTCACTGCAGTTGGAGGTTAGTTAGCTTACTGGGTCCTGTAGCTAATATAAATCGTGTGATAAATCTAATGAACGCCAACCTGTAATAGTCCAGGCGTTGTGGCCAAAGAACTGGAAGCACTGTAGACATCTACCTAGGTAAAGTTTTATATTCAAGATAACTTCAGTCAGTGCCGAACGAGGATGACCTTCTTAGCTTAAAGTCACGATTCGTCCGACCACTGACAAAATACAGGACCCCTAAACGTGAACCAAAACCTTACAGCTTTCCATTTTTGATTTCATCTAAAATATATCAACACGTAAGCATGCTCACCAATACCTTTGACTCTATGTTAGTACCAGCCATGTGGGTCAAATAAAAATAAAGGAGTAAATTATAACGATAACTGATTTTTCAGCAGCAAGAACGACCCTCACAAAGAACGGCGTTTCAGTAAATGCAGTTTACACACCTCTGTTCTGTTTTAAGCGGAGAATCTAAACGAGTCTCTGCTGTAAGAAATTCCACCGAATATCACAATATTTGAAAAAAAAAGTACAATTAAAAATGTGTGATTATACCACATGTACCAGTAATTATTTCACGCTATTTTTTACAAAGGTCTTTCCTTTCATATATATTATAGATCACTGATGAAGCCTGGCTTCTCCTTATCCGACAGCAGAGGCTTTCTTCACATTATACCTGAACTTGCTCAACAAAAACACTGTGACCCAAAAACTTCGTTTATAGCATGAATGTCTGAGAAACACTAAAATAAGGATCAGCAAATAGTCTGTTATTGTGCTTGCGTTATTATGTCGACACAAAACAGAAATGACTGTGAAAACTGAACATCGCATTATCAGCCTCATTGAATATTATTGTCATAGTTTTTGAGATAATAAATGTTTCATTCTTTCCTCATTTTTGTCTAGGAATGTTCTTGTGAATCTAGGCTTGTTTGCAGCAGGAGTTTGGGTAGCACGAAACCTGTCAGACTTTGACCTGATGTCTCCTCAGCCAGTCACATAGTTCCTGCCATGCCATGAGATTTTACAGGTGAAAGTTACATTTCATTGTCAGTTGTTCAAATGGATAATAGTACAAAATGCATTCTAAAAAACTGGTTTTCAGACACAGATTAAAACACTGTTCAAAATAGCCTACTACATCCTGCTTGTGTACTGATTATATCCAGAAGTAGTCAGGGGTAATATGACTGAATAATAGGCAGCATGACTCCACACAGGAGCATGAAAACCCAATGCTGAGCAGATTGTTCAGATTAGACCAACTTTATTAAGCTACTATTTTAACCATCTTATCTATACAGTAAGTTGACTTTGTTAAATAGATGAAGCAAACCCACCAGGAAAAGGTGGTGTGGCTTCAGTGTTGCACTGAGTGCAGAGGCATTTTGACATTAATTTTCCAGTTATTAATGGATTGAAAGGCTAAATCCAGCCTAAAGATTGACTACATGACTTCACAGGTCTACTAGTGCCCTTGACTCTTGAGGGCACTAATAGACCTCTGAAGTCATGTAGTCATTCTTTAGGTCTTACGGATTCTCATTCTAAATACTATGACTTTCTCTTGCTCATGATGTTTTTTTGTTTTTTTTTTATCCTCAGGAGGGAACTATGACATTTCTTCTGATCAAGAATGAAAGTTTGCAACAAGGGGACCGATGGCAATAGACCAGTAGACACTGAATGGAAAAAAAAAAAAATTAGAGGACTGTTAAAGCACTGCTTTACATTTTTGTTAAACAAGTAGTGAAACAGCTGACCTTACTGGAAGTGTCAAACTTTATTAAGTATAAATAAATACATTTCAGGTTTATGTTATAAGGTTTTCACAGTTACTTGAGCAGGACGATTCACACACCTGGAAGAAGAGGATATACAAAAGTTATGCATGTTTAACTCACTAAAATGTGTTCACCATAATGAAACCATAATTTTTGAAGCAGTGTCCTTCAGCAAATCTATTTTTGCATTACCTGCTATATTTGCTTTGAAGATAAAAGCTGGACCCATGTCTCTTTTTCCAATCTGCAGGCAAATATGCATTTTGAACTTAAATTAAAAATAGCCCTGAATTGAACAGTTTCATGTAGAATGTCTATTCAAATATTCAGAGTCTGCTTACTCTGTATACTAAGATATTGAGAATTAAACTAGAGATCAGCACTCAAAATCAGTTACCGTGTCTGTGCAGCAAGTATAATAGCTGTAGCAGTTTTCAAGCGGTTTTGGGTTAGGTGGAGGAGGAAGGCTTCTGGAGGCAGCCCCAACATCTGAGTCTTTAACTCCTCTACACGAACATGGGCGGGGAACATGGCGTGGTCCTGCACGCTGAATCTCTGTCCACTGATTTGATTATACATAAATAATTAATGATGTACATGTAGAAGACATTTGTAACATTGTGCACAGGCTCCCAAGACTTGGATTAAACCTAATCTTGAGCGAAAATTCAGTCACTGAACAATTTTAATCTTAGATTTCCAGAGAATGAATAAAGTATAGGAAATCTCTCCCCAAAATGCATTTGAATACAGCACAGCACGAAGAACTTACTTCTTGTGGGAGAGGAGCAAAAGGTCATTGAAGAGGTGCAGGTAGATGTCTGTGCGTGACACTGTGGAGCCTGAGGTGTGGTAACTTTTGACTGTCAGCTTTTTCAAGGCTCCTGCTCGAATCAGATGACGTCCACTTATGACTAAAGGTATTGACTGACGGTTAAAAAAAAAACAATAAGGAAAAAGAAAAAAAAACCCACTTTACAACCAAACAGATACACATTGCTTGGAAAAAAGGATGAGAAAAGATTCAGACCTTGACATTGCCAAAGTCCACCAGCTTCTCCAAGGAAACCAGTTCCTCTGTCCGTTTCATTCTCTGGACATTGCTGTCGCACTCTACCACTATCTATGTTACACAGAATGACCTTGGTATGTAATTTCTTTACAACAATAATGTGACTACCATTTTACAACAACCGTATCTACTATGCTTTTAAGGTGAGGAAAAAAGATCATTTTAAATAAAGCATTAAAAAATTAGATTGGGGTGTCCAGTCTTATCCACAAAGGGCCGGTTTTCATTCCAACAAAGAGCACACATTATCAACTGTTTGAAAACTGAGACCAATTGATTAAATAAGTGGAATCTGGTGTGTTCCTGCCTGATTAGAACAAAACCCTGCAGCCACACCAGCCCTTTGCGGATAAGACTATAGACACTGCTGAATTAGATAAAAATAATACACAATTTAAAAATGCTGAATTTCATGTGGGAGCTAATAAAATAAGGGATGCATTATGACATCCATACAAAATATCTTAAGCTTACCTCTCGCACAGCTTCAATTGCTTCTTTTAGGTTGGTGACATCAGTGGATTGCTCATCGGTTCTTTTGAGAATGTTCTGAATCAGTGACAAAGAAAATATGTTGCATCAAATTATGCACAACAAGGTACCCAGGAGGTTATGCGATTTTCTCAAGAGTTTTAAAAGGTCTCCCATTCTTGAGTTTGAGGAAGCCCACCTCTAGAATAAGCCTTAATCGTGTGATTCTTTGGAAAGGAAGGACCAGAAAGGACTTGAGTGTCTGTCTCTGGCATACCGGATCCTTCTCCAGCTTCTTTACAGCCATCACAAACTTCTTATTTTCCTGCCTGAATAGAAAGGCACAAAAGTTACACAAGCAAAAAGGGGTTTGTTGAGTTTAGATGAGGGGAGATGAAATTGGACAACAGAATAAACACAACTAACAAAAGTTTTGAAATGAGGGCCTCCTGATACATCATGTTGGTGACATAAGGCACATAGACCCGACGAAACGCTGATCGGTGACTCAGCACTACGTCACCAATTTTAGACATCACCACATTCTGACCCAGCCTAGCCTCCAGGTCCAGAAGGAATCTGACAAGAAAAGGACAGTGTAAAAATTAGTTGTCTTAGATACTAAAGCTATGGGGAAAATAGCAGACTGTAATTTGATGTACATTTTATCCTTACCCCTCACTGACCCTACAGACCTCCTTTAGGTTGGAAAAAAGAACATGATTCTGTACGGGAGATAACGTGTTCCTCAGCTCTGCAGAGCCCTGAAACAGCCCAACTGCCACCTGCAAACTCTTCTGATACGAGGTTTCTGACAGAATTAGTTCAAACATGGCCTATGCAAAAAATACAAAAAAAAACCAAACAAACAAACAACAACAACAAACACATCAAGGGGTATGCTAGAGATTCAAACCAACTGCAGAAAAACTGGATGTATACCTATTATGCCATTAGCATTTTTGTTTTATTGTTGCTTATTCTGTTGAATAAAATAAATTATGGTAATTCAGGCTTTCAGTTTTCTGGGACCACTGTTTTGCAAACTTCAGATACTGTAATATGTACAATGTATAATGAAGATATCTTCAAGTATTTTTTGCCTCATATCCCAAACCTACCGTCAATAAATATGTTTGTAATTTAGGGACGACTACAGACAACTCTGATATCATCTCTCTGACTCTACAGACAACTCAGACAACATCTACCTCTTGTAGCCGAATGTCACTGGCTGTGAGCAAATGCAGCAAACGTTTCCTCTTCACTTCTGGCAGCTCCTGCCACAAAGCGTATGGTGCCACATGTAGCCCTGGAGGGCTTGATACAGAAATAGGGCTGGATGCAGGGGGAGAAGAGAGGCCAGCAAGACAGTGCGACATCACAAGGTCTGCCAGCCTTTTGTGCTGCACCTTCTGAAGGTCTGCTCTCATACATTTCAGCCAGTACTCCTGATACAGTGGCACAGCTACAGAGAGGAAATGAGAACTGATGGCTTGTTCATTTAGAATGCTATATTCAACAGCAAATGTATTTTAAGGTATATAATTCCAAACTTACAACTGTTAATGTATTTCGATTCAAAATTCAACTGAAAGGTTTCCTCTTCCTTCTGCGCATCATCCGTGCACCTAATCACAAAGATTTTCAGTACTCACTGTATACTCATCAACTTAGCTATGCTGAAGTAAAAAGTTGTGGCTTTATTGATCCCCTTTACCAAAGCCTCACATTACATGTTTACATGTAATTTAACAGATTTACATGTTATACCCACATGCATGCATACACTATATGGACAAAAGTAGTGGGATACCTACACATTACACCCATGGGAGCTTTCATAACAGACTCATCCATCAGACTGCCAGATACAGAAGTGTGATTCATCACTCCACACAGTCCAGTGGCGGCCTGCTTTACACCACAACCCCCCCCAATGCCTGGCATTGTGCATTTTGGTCTTAGGCTTGTGTGTAGCTGGTCAGCCATGGAAACTCATTTTGTGAAGCTCCTAACATGCATTTCTTTTGCTGATGTTACTTTCAAAGACAATTTGGAACTTGTTGGTGACTGATTTAACAGAAGACAGGCCCCACTCTGTGAGTTTGTGTGGTCTACCGCTTCGTGGCAGAGCTGTTGTTGCTCCTAGGTGCTTCCATTTCACAATAATAGCACTTACAGTTGAAAGAGGCAGATCTAGCACCACAGAAATTTCACAAACTGACTTGTGGCAGAGGTGGCATCCTATGACAGCGCCACGTTTAAAGTCAATACGATCCATTCAACTGCCAGTGCTTCTCTATCAAGAGTGCAAGGCTAGGTGCTTAATTTTATCCCTCTGTTAGCAATGGAACACCTGAATTCAATAATTAGGAGGGGTGTCCTAATACTTTTGTCCATATATTGTATGTAAACCAATCAGTAGTCATGCAAGATTCCACTTAAGCTCCTCAGGAGCACCTGGCTTATACTACTAGCCAAATACAGTTACATGTAATTTGTGCAAAAATCACTAAAAATGTCATGGCTGGATTTTTTCTCTCATGTTCAGAACTGTGTTTGGCCATCTTTTTACTGGCAAGCATGAGGACAACAAACCATGACCTTTATCATGTGACTTTGGTGAAAAGCTTGGTGAAAATCAAACTGATTTCACTTTTATTCATCAAGCATGGTTGACAAAAGAACTCTGGTCAAAAATTTCCACAGGGTTGTAAAAGATTAAATTTAGGACGTTTATGTTCTCCAGAGGCATTCACCGAAGGCAAATCACAAAGATCACAAACCATCAAGTTACTTATCTGCAGCTGAGGAAAGTGGCTCTGTGGTCTGACTTTAAATTACAGTTCTGCAGGGCTAATGATATTCACCAAAACCGTTAAACCCATCAACGACCCTACCGTTTGACTTCATCTCGTCCACAGTCCTGAACAGGAGAGTCTGGCCGACTGGGCAAGGCCTTGTTATCCTCTACAGTGAAGAGAGGTGCAGTGTGGAGGTAAACACCCTCAAGACTCCAAGAGTCTGAGTTTGCAACGGACCTGAGAGCAGCAGCAATCCCACCAAAGGCGCTAAAAAGGAGACAAGACAAGGATATTGACCTCAAACAAAGGCTATTCAGCACTCTGATATTGTCACAAGTAACCGTATCTTATAAGTAGGAGAAAACGAGCACAGTATTAAACGAAAATCTACCCAAAAGTCCTCTCTGGCGTTTGACAAGCGTTTGTTTTAACGTTGCTTTCATCCATCTTGGACTGTGCAACTGCACAGACTACCGCATCGCTGTTGGCCTACAACACAAAGAACAGTTACAGTTTAACTCTGTCGAGCTCACTACACTCTCCACTGCAAGTGTCTTTAAATATGTCCTTGTTGATTATTTTATTCCAATAAAAGGCCTAGTTATCTTCACAGAACATTGATTGTAAACAACCACATTTGTCCATGCATGCAGTACGTGCCTAAGCAAGCAGCTGTTTATTGGTCGAGTTAGCGATAATGTTGCTTCACTCCAATATCAGCATTTGTTTATTTGCTGTTGTTGCAGGATTAAGACCTACCATCGATAAAAACGTAGAACCCCTGACCTCCCTTCAGTCCACGGTGACATGACAGTACCTGCTCAAGGCTGTAGAAGACTTGAATCCTTCTCGGGTGTGGCTCATTGATTGACATAACACTATCCAGCCCCTCACTAAAACTTTAAAGGGCCCACATCTTACATTTTCCAACCTCTCCTTATTGCTTACAATTAAACAGGCTGGTTTTGTTACTATGCCTGTAAGATAGGTAATCTACACTGTGCCTGTGATAGGTAACTGACATCTGTTCTGATTGGCTGCTTTGTATTGTGCCTCATTCAAAAAGCAGCCTGGGTTGAAAAGTTATGCTTACTTCAGTAAGACTGTGTGAGATACACTGCTTTAGGCTGAATAGGTGGACATATGCAAATAGGTTGGTTTTCATGACATCACAAAAACAATTAATTCAAAATAGGCTGTTTCGGCAGTGTAGTTTCCACATATGGAGAGATGAACGCATTTTGAAATGTTCAAAATGTGTGCATCAAAATCTCTCATTTAGACAAGAAAAGTTTGGTTTTGATAGGGGTGTAGTGTAGAAACAAGGAGATGTACCTAATGTAGTGGTCCATCGTTATACATTCATTAAGTACACTTTTTTGTTTTCACACTGAGTGGACCTCACCAACCATTCTTAAGAAATTTCTTCTTAAGCCCACTTACACAGTTTTCACGAAGATTCTGACATTCACCAAAGTTTTCTTCTTTGGGATTTGTTCTTATTTAAGAAAAGAAACTATGCAAACTCGAGCATAAAGATGCGAACAATTCTGCGGTTTAAGAACACATCATGAATTTGACGTAGACTTTTTCTAAGGTCTTAAGAAAAAATTGGGATAATACTGGTAAATAAGGCCCACGTTCCTTTTTATCAGGTCCCCCTACCACCTATTGGTAGGTTGTTCTACAATTACAGGTTGTAGTCCATCTGTTTCCCTGCATAATTTGTAGCTTCCTTTCAGCCTATTCTTTAATGCTCAGGACCCCCACAAAGCAAGTATTATTTGGGTGGCGGATCATTCTCAGCATTGCAGTGACACTGACATGGTGATGGCGTGTTAGTGTTCATTGTGCTGGTATGAGTGGAGCATGCTAGATGCTCAGTGTCACTGCTGGACTGAGAATAGTCCACCAACCAAAAATATCCAGCCAATAGTGTCCTGTGACCTCTGATTAAGGACTAGAGGATGACTAATGCAAACTGTGCAGCAACAGATAAGCTACTGTCTCTGACTTTACATCTACACACTGGACCAACAAGGTGTTAAAAACTCCAGCAGCACTGCTGTGTCTGACCCACTCATACCAGCGCAGCACACACTAACACACCACCACCACATCAGTGTCACTGCTGAGAATGATCCACCACCCAGACGATACCTGCTCTATGGTGGTCCTGACCATTGAAGAACGGGGTGAAAGGGGGCTGACAAATTATGCAGAGAAACAGGTGGACTACACTACAGTATGTAATTGTAGAACTACAAAGTGTACCCGTATGGTAAGGGGACCTGTACACACGTATACACACACACACACACACAACATAATAGTAATTCATTCAAGCAGAATTAGTACACCATGAAACACATTTACACCTTTGAATTATAAAGAATCACTTTTTTCCTTTATTTGGTTTTTAAATTGTATACAAGATGAAACTAAATAATTAAAATTTTAAACACAGCTGATACATGACCCAGAGACTACAATTTAGAGGGACAAGGTGGTAGACATGACTCAACACAGCTAGACAGGGCTTGCCAGAATTTTGAATACAACGTTACTGTAGTCTAGAAAAAAAGATGCTGAATTAAGAGAATGACATACAAATCACCAAATCCCATGTAATGAATGTTCTAAAAGCAGATGGACCAAAGCAATACCAAATCCCAAACATTTCTCCACCCTTTAAAAGTCTCATCAACTGTGCTATGCATACATTTGAAGAAAAACAGCACTGAAGACTATACTGCAAAATCCCTGAAATTAAAAGACAGATGTCTGGTGATAAAATACAGCCCACCAAAAGGTTCATGACTTAATTTTACTGTTCCCCTTCCTCTCACAATTTATTTTTTCATTTATTATAGAAAAGCCCATGCTGACTGATAAAACACTGTTTAGGATGGTTTCTTCAACACTCACATGAAAACATTAAATATAGTATATGATGTATGAAGTCAGAAATGACAAATCTATTATTAGCTTCTGAAGGCAACCAATTCAGACATAAAAAAAATCCACAATGGTCAAGTTATACAGGATTGGCAAATATAAAATGATCAGAATATAGAAACTAAAGAGAATTAATGTGAAAGGTACAGTATTTAGTAATTATTGCAAGTTTAACAAGGGAGAAGTTCCTGTTAGTGGATGCACTTCTAGTTTATAGGTTATTTTCCCAGACATTAATTACACCTAGGTATGGCCAAACCTGCAATTCCCATGGTGATTCACCACTGAACATCTTTTTAAGCATAGGCGTAGACTCAACCTGGTACTGGGAAACTTGCCCTAAATGCACTGTTTTTCATAATACAACACCTTTACACACAAGATCCATCTTAAACTGCTATACATTAGGCACATTTGTCCACATAATAAAAGGTAAAATCCTGACACAGCAGAACCAGTGTGCTGTACATCCATACTTTTACCAAACCCATAATATAGTCTAAATACTTTTATGCATTCTCAAGAACACCCAAATATATGCAGCTTAACCATAGATGACAGGGAACAATATGGTGGGCTCTGTGTATCCATATTAGTTAAAGGGTAATGTACTGGGAACAAAGGTATAAGATGCTTAAATAAAAATATCATCCATCATCCACAACTAAGCTTCAAGACCATTCTAATTAGGGCTCTTCCTACACTAAATAAAAATGACCAGTGTTCATCTTAAAACTACAAGTCACCAATCTGCAGTTTCATTCATCTGCATGAGCAAAGCAAAAAGGCTCTTTCATGTGCCAGGTAAAATTATCATTAAATTCATGGACAGGTGATGCATAAATGTCCACTGTTTATCTAAACCAACTTAAACCAAACAATAAAAACCAGCGACTCTTCAGAACCTCACAAAAGGTAGCATGCAAGACTTAAAGGGAAAAAGAAAAAGTTCAGATCACTGTTATTCTTGCAAGACATCCCAGACCCATCCCAGTTTTTTCCAAAGCTAGAACAATTTTAAGGTGTGGGGAAATATGAACTCATGACTTTCAGGGACAAAACTAAGAACAAATAAGGGGAAACGGCATCAAAAAGAAAGGCTCAGAAACGAACTGATGCTGCCATTACATTTCTGTAATGGGTCTAAGTGGGCACAGTGATCTTTCTGGCCAGCAGCACCAGTAGGGCGAGTTCCACACTACCTCCGGCCCGGTCAAGTGCCTCAGCTGCCTCATGAGATGAGAACCCCGCTGCCTGTATCCTCTGGATGTGCTCTGCAGGATACTGTCCCGTTAAGGTCACTGCGGAAGGCTGGATGGAGTCTGCAAAGGGGAGAGGAGCTAACTCAGGGGCCTGTGTTGAAGGATGAGAGGACGCTACAGGCACAAGGCTGGAATTGTCTGTTGAGGAGTCAACTGCTACAGACAGGGGACGCTGCTGAGATGGTTCAGCTGAGTTGGGAGGTTCAGTGCCTGAGGTCCTCCATTCTGCATCACCTCTTCCTTGCTGACTTTCGTGAGCCTCTCGGAACTCAAAAAAACCCTGTAACGGAGATGCTTTCCCTGGCTCTGACACACTTCCTCTCCCGTTTCCACCCACATGATTTCCTCCAGGGGTATACAAAGACTGAGTCATGTCTTGTTCAACTGTGATATTCACCACCCCATTAGTCTGGTCATCTTCCTGCCCTTGAGAGCTTAGTGTGGGTATGTCTAATGTACCAACCCCTGCTTGAGCAGCATGTTCAGATTTGGCAAAAGTCGTTTCATTGGTAGTGGCAGTGTCAGAAGACGATGACTCAACAGTTGGGTTCAGACTAGGAAAATCCTCTGTAGTGCGACCCTCGTCCACCTTTTCAGCATCTTGTTGTGTCGTAGTGGTATGAGAAGCAGACGAAGAGCTCCTTCCACTAGCCTGAGCGTGAGTGTTGGACATCAGAAGCTCATGAAGCTCCTTCAGGGCCTGGGCCAGAGACGGAATGCTGTCTCCCTCTGGCTGGTCCCTCTCTGAAGGCACTGCACTCTTTGAGGCAGACCTAGCATTAGTATTCTCCTCAAATTCTGAGCAGACATGAGGCAGCTCAGAAGAACCGGCTGGCCTTGTAAGGCTGTGATGAAAGGTCAACTCTGAAACAGGGGTGAGTCTTGATTGAACTTGATTGTTTGCAACATTTTTCATAATGCTGTCTTGCTCTTTTTCTTGAAGCTGATCCGGAATGTCAAGACTTACTGTTTTTGCATCAGTAGAATCAGCCATGTCCACTTCCTGTAGAAGAGCTCTAGTCTGGGAGCTTGTATCTAGGTTGGTAAAGGGTGACTCAGGTTCTTTTGTCTCTTGTAGGGTTACGTCCTCCTCAACGTCTACATTTAAGTGGTTCACAGACTCCCCACAAGTTGCAAGGCTAGTCACTTCATTGTCCTTTGACACAGTACTAGACAGTGGTGGTTCCTGAGCAGGGAGAACAGGTGGGATAAGAGCTTCTGCTGCCTCTGTGTTAGGCAATGTAGAATCAGTCACAGGTTGGGACTGAGGTTTGAAGGCATCAACCAGTCCATGGACAGGATTTTGAGAAGACTCGGCCAAGGATTGAGGTGGGGACGATGGAGGTACATCCTGGGCATAAGATGGGTGGTATTCAGTCATGCTTTGAGTGTCAGATGGATGTGACTTGGTTTCTCCCTGGGTTTGAGATGGACTAAACAATGTCTCTGGTGGCAGGCTGTGGTGTGTGGAGGCTGGGGCAGACTTGGAGCGGTCCAGCGCGACACTCCGAGTATGACTTGTGGCAGGTGAGGAGCTTGTGGGTATGTTGAAAGGTTTGCAAAGAGAGAGTGGTGGGGACTGTGGTGAGGTAGTTTTTCCATCTGCAGTATCTATCAGGAAAGTCAAAACAATGATTACGTTTACATGCGTGGCAGAAATTTAATGCATCATATTGCTGTGGTTAACTATGCAGTAAAATTCACATGCATTGCAAACCATGCATGCCATTATAAACAGGCATGGATCTACATCAGGTTTTATACAGTAATCCCAGGGGACATTTTTGCAGATTACACACGCCGCATGCAGAATGTCCTCCGGAAAACATCAGCAAATTACCTATCTGAATCATTACTATGATGACATTTAATATTGCTCTGCATTCATCAGCCAAGTGTGTGCCTTGCTGTTGTAACTGGGACATTTCGGACAGAAGTAGAGTTCAGCTAATCATATAAATATGGGCAAGGAGAATTTGTGGGATTGTCTGAATCAGAAAAAAATGTTCAAGTGACAAAAATATTATGGAGTGCAAACTGAATTTCATAAAGTCATTATCAGATTAGTAAATTTTTTTCTGTTTAAAACTGTTCAAAACAACAGAATTTTTCAACGCTGGATTTCTAGGCCTTAGTAATAGTACAGCTGGGATAATGATTTGATGACAATTAATGACTGATAAGTAAATTTATTATTTTTACATTTTGTACACATGAGCACTGTGTATGTCCACTATCCGAAATGCCAGTCCTGGTTTTATGTCATACACACCTGCAGCAGTAAGTGATGTGCTGGCAAATGGGAAAAAACCAACAGTATTCTTCATGCTTCATTATAGTTCAATGTTTAGTGAGGTCTTTTCACACCAAGTCTATTTTTACAGATTTAATGCAGTGAAATCCTTACATCAAGTCCGAAGTGCCTTTTTATTTAACACTGAGAATGCAAGAAGGTGAAGAGGAAGAAGAAATGGGTTCACTGAGAGGACGGTTAGCCTGGTCCTGCAAACTATGCATGCCATCAGTAAATTACCTATCTGAATCATTACTATGTTGACATTTAATATCGCTCTGCATTCACCAGCCAAGTGTACACCTTGCTGTTGTATTGTCATGTTTAACTGGCAGCTCTGGTTCTAAACTTGAACACCAAACATATCTCGGATGATCAACTGCATTTGGGGAAGCAGAAAATCATGTAAATTTCATTTTTCTCCAAACTATTCCTTTACAGCTTTTTCACCAGCTCTGGTTTAAATGGAAACTATTCAGCATTTACTGAATGCAACTGTAATACGGTTGCTGTAAAAAGAAATTAATAATTTTGTCCCAATTTATTGATTTTTGAAAATTGGCTTTTTGGCCCAGTAAAAAAGTAAGTAACAGTAATATTAGATATATTCAAATCTACAACTAAAAATGACAATTACCCAGTTTTTATGATTTTTTTTTATTACTTTTAGCTCTACATTAACTGCATTTAGGTTATATATTTTAGGAAAAATGTAACCCCCTTGACAATTATCTTAGAATGTTTATGGGAAAAGTAATACTGAAATACTGAAATAATGGATCAGAGCATATTCAGTTCCTTTGTGTGACTGCTGTACCTGGTAGGCAGAGCCCTCTCCAGCTGTCTGTCCATATGCATCAGTGCTGTCCTGCACATGGTTAGAGCACACACACCACACAAGGCATGCAAAGGGGAGCAGAAATTTAGGAAACACACACATCCAAAGAGAGTGAGAGAGTGAATGCTCTATAAACTCTCACAAGGTGTTGTACAGTATGAGGTAAATGACTCTGACCATGACTTTTCTGGTGTAGATCTGGTTCATCTAAAATCACTGAGGGTCGGATATTAGCTTAGATGGGAATTAGCTCAACCAGTGAGGAAGGGAAAAAAGCTTAGTTATTATCTTTGGTTAATCACTAAGAACACATATCTGCAGAATATCACTTTATGCCAAGGGGCCAATGTAAAACAACCTATGTTGTTGCACTGCCCATGTTCAGTATGTTTATAACATCTCATTCTGCCGGGTTTTTTCATATTCCAACAAGGCTGGATTGAGCCTGGACTAAGAAGCATTACCTCACACTTTACATCACTTGTTGAGCTGAGTATGTTACTAGCGCTGCACAGCAAACAGAGCAAACTCCAGATACATTGGTTAAAAATAACCACGACTGGATTGACAACATTTCAGTGATGATCATAACAAAAATAATAATGAAATGATAAAATAGTAATTGAATGTAAAAACCACGAAAACTTAAGAAGCTCATGCAGTGAACAAATATTCTACACACAGTTCTGTCTCACATGATCAATAAAAATCTCAGACAAAAACTGATAAGAAAAATACTAACTTTATATCTAAATTGAAATAACTTTCTAATTGTTATAATTTTCTTTAATACACTATGCTCAAAGTCCAAACTGTGTCATAGATACTGTAACTGAAACTCCCTGTGTCCATGCACAACTCATTAACTTGTCTATCTTGTGTCTATTTTGTGCATGCTAACTTGTCTCTATCCATGCAGCTCACCGCTGTCCTGTATGGATCTGTGTAACGCCTCTGCTAGCTCTCGGTCTGCAATCTCCTCAGGCCGGGCATCCTCTCGCCCCTCAGGCCCATATGCCAGTCTGGCACAATCGGGCAGTTCTGCTTCAGGCAGGAAGCGTGTCTCTGTTCCTGTTGTCCCAATCAGGAGCACACTCTTCTTAAGGTCAATGGAACACTGGAAAAAAAAATGATCCAGGCAGAATAAGATGACACATGCAACAAAAGTAGAATTAGAAAAGGCAAAATTAGAAAAAAAAGTTTGGACTGAGGTTAGTCAGTATCAATATTCAGATTAATAAAGGGACGGGACTGTGATATTAGCATAACGTAATAGCCACAGCATGGTCTTTTATTCCTAAATTAAAACAGCGGTCAATAACAGAGAGAACGTGATCATTTCAAAGAATCTTAAGACAGTATTGTATTGTATGGTAAGCCATGTGATTCCAGTTACATTCCTGAATGTGAGAGCAGACCTGGTGTCTCTTTAGCATGTCAAGTCCTAACAGCATGTCCATAGGCTGATCTTCCAGAATAGAGAAGGAGCAAGGCAAGAAGTCCCCTTCAATCTGCACCTGAGCTGGACCACACAGGCACACAAAATCCGTAAGTAATCTCAACACACACGCAAGACAGAAAAACAAAACATTAAATACAAAAACTAGGAAAACCACAGGAGAAACCAGTGTTCAAAAGCTCTTAAAGGGATCACATTGTTAAACCAAGTTTACATCCTAGATGAGCCAATACAAACTACATGACATGTCAATATTTGTCCTTCTTGGTGGTGGTTTCCTGTCAAAATATGCAGGCATTTTATGCCCATGTCTACAAAAGTGAAAATTAAGAGGGTTGGAGGGTGGAAAACAAATGCAGGCACACTGCTCGGTCTTTTTTCTTAGTGGTTCACAGTGTATTTTTTTGATAGCTGCTTCTGGCTGTGCATCTCCCTGTTGATTTGATCGGTCAACATAAAACTGCTCATAATATAGGCTACTTAACCGCTTTGAGTTTAAAGTTTTGTCAACTCTGCACAAAACACAGCAAAATGCAAAACACATTTCTCTACTTGAAAATAATACAAAAAAAGACCCCTTGGTCCACAAAAAATGTGCAATCCCCCCCTTTACTGCAAATAGTATCTTACAATCATAGGTCTGCAACTCCTTTTAGAAACATACCCAAATGTACTCTTCCAATGATCTTCTGTGTGCCCACGCCTTTAGCAATCCCTGCCCACCGACGGTCTACAAGACGCATGATGTTACAGCGCTCTGCACAGGCTTGACTCATGATGGTCATCTGGGCTCCTAAGATGAGAGAGAGAGAGAGAATTATGCATTACCAGTAATTATGTGTTTGACTATACAATAACTATAATGTGTAGGCATGTCTGCAGTGTAGGTAGTCATTACATTTAAGATTCATGTGTACTGCCCTGCAGAACGTTTTTGGCAATGGGTGTAGAAAGCCAGCCACTGGTCACAAACAAGGGAGTTAAAACAATGAGTGAAAGAAAACTAGGCTACCTGAGTCAACAAATGCCTTGACAGGATGTCCATTGACTTTGCAGTTGATGTAGAGCATGACAACCTGGCCAAAACTTTCAGGAGCCTCCTCCATAGCTATGGTCATGTTTTCTTCAATATTATGTTGCCTGGGGAAAAAAAAACAAAAAAAAACATACAAAGGTAAGCGGATGCCAGCAATCACTGATAATGCCGTGACAAAAGCGATAATCACCGTGTTGGCCAAGAGAATTGATAAAAAACTAGCAAGGATGATTTTAATTTTAAACAACTTGCTAAATAATATTACATAAGTCGTACATGTTTATTCCCTTTTACTGTTAGAACAATGAATCAATACTAGACATTATTACTGACAAATGCACAATGATGTCAGAATCATATCAGTATTGTCTGATATTTGAAGTTATGTACATGAAAAACATCTGATATCGGCATCTGCTCACAAATCCCATATCAGCGCATCCCTAATTATTATAGGGCATCAGTAAGTCGTTGGGCCAGGATAGAGAATATTCCCCTCACTCTTTGCTAAGGGAGATTTGGAGCTTATGAACAAATGTGTTTTCAGTAAAACTTTCAAAATGAAAGGTGATAAACTTTATCACTAAAATGTGTAGGATTATTCAATATTATATTGTTTTTATATGATTTTATTAAAGCAGTTAAATCACAACATGCTAAAGATAGCACAGAAAGTATATCTAAGTTGGAGCAAATGTGTGTGTTCACAGGGAGGCAATATAATAAATAATATTTTTAACAGAAAGATATAATAAATCAAGATAGATATTGCTCAAGCCTAGTGTTTACACGTTTTTCTTTATCAGATAAATAAATGAATATTTTGTTACTGTGGAATAAAAACATAACTGGTTAATGCTTTTCAGATGGAGATTTCACATTTGACAAAGACGCCAAAATGTCAAAATTTAACATGCATTGGCTTTACAGTACTTACCCATTTTACAATTAATTTACTTAAGCTGCTGGAATACTTGGCGACATTCAGACTCAAAACCTGTATTATACCTGATGTCCTCCTCAATCTTGGCCTGAGCCTCCAGGTCAAAGGGGTCAGCAGTAAGAAGTCTGATTCTCTCCTGCTCCCTTCGGGCTCGATCCTGCTGCTGCTCCAACAGCACCTTGGTGAAGCGCTCTGAGAGAGGAAAATTGGTTTAATTATTTAATTGTACACTGGCAAAAGGAGAGTATGTTCCCTGACCACCATAAATTAAGATAATCATCCATTCTCTGTTCTCACCAAGGTCACCACTCAACAGGGCTTCAGCCAGCGGTGGGTTACGTTCCTTCAGCAGGGACAACTCATGTGGATTGGCGAGCAACATATCGCGCAACAGGGCAGGGTTGTCCAAACCCTGAGGAGAAGATGCAGGGGACGTGGAAGGGGGTGATTGGGCAGCACTTGGTTGTTGTCTGGTGGAGTGCTGGTTTGAGGAGGTGCCAGGTACTGCGATGGCGCTGAAATCAATGCGGGGCAGCCCTATCAAGTTGCAGAAACAGAGGTCCAACAAACTATTTCACAAAACCCTATTTGGACTCAACCCTGGTCCAAAGGAATATCAATCAACTGAAGTCTTCGACTCAGTTACATTACTGTAAAACACTTCATGCTTAAACATTTGCGCATAAAAATGTGGAATGAAATCCAGACCTGGGAAGGATGGCTGTACCGGTGGTCTTCTCTCTACTTGTCTTAACACCACCACATCTCCATCCTTTAGTCCATAATTCCCCAGGGCTCGGGTGAGGTCTCTCAAAGCTTGTTCTGCATAGGAGATCTGCAGACACCAAGAACGATTTAATAAAACTTACAGGAAGTTAACTACACATATGTACAAATATGCCAAAAAGCCACAGCGTCCAGGCTTCACTTCAAAAGCCAGGAGAAGCAAAACGGAAGTAAACAGACCATGTCGTTTACAGAATACCGTTTTACGCAAGTGGAAACCCAAGCACTTTCAATTTGATTCCAAGCTTTTGAGCTTGTGTCTGAACGTGTCATAAGCAACGTCACTCTAAATGAAGTCTATGGACCATTTAAACCATATCAAGTAACTAAAGTTTTATACATACAGTTGTTTACAGACTGTTGGTAAACAGCCTATTATCGCTGACGACACTACTAGCTAGCCTGGTCATGTGGCTAACTAGCTAGCTAGTTAAAGCTCCACGAAATTACTTTGCCGACACGACACAAAGTCGAAGACAGACCTCTTCAAAATGCTGAAGTGTCCGTGTGGCTTTAACGTTGCGTTAGCTACTTAGCACGCTATTAATAGCATGGCATGCCGGTTTAACCGATGTGTATCGCTAACTGCTAGCTAATGTTAATGATAGTTAAAGGCAGGCAGCTAGCTGGCTTGTTTTCTGTTGTGCAGCACTTTTTGACATGGATTACCTGAATCTCCCCGGCGGGTATTCCTGATTCTAGTTCACAAAGAGCCAAAAAATCCCTGAGTTCAAGCTCCGGGGAGACCTCTAGGGCGAAAGTTGTTTCGGAGCGGTCTCTCAGTGCGCAAAACACGGTCAGCAGCATCGCGCCTGCCTGCAGTCAGTGGAGCCCGCTACGGTGGAGAGCAGCTCAGCGTCCCTTTCCCCCTCTTGCCGTTCACTGATTCAGTGGTTAAAAGAGCGAGAATATTAGCTGTCCAGAATCGTCTCGGTGTTACCTTAAGACAAACCACCTAGTAAACATGGACACGCGTTTAAACCGGCAATTTAATATAACCTACACAATCTGCAGTTCAGCTCACAGATTGTTTCTCCACTTCCTTTCGGTATGATTACCGTGATCTGACTGCAGGGGACGCGCTTCAGCCACGCGGATTTCACGCAGATCTGCGAAGAATCGCTGATCGCTAAATAATAGTGTATCATCGATTCTGTATGGGTATGATATACAGATCACAGGAGTAGCGCCCATTATTCAGCACAGTGAAGCAGGAAACCGTGAAATTTTGTCCATAATACAGGTCACTAAAAGCTAAAATATTAGCATTTCATTCACGGTTTTAGGTTATTTGTTTCAGCATGCGATATTATACTTCTTAAAAACAATAACCTATATCTATAGTGTAATGCAGAAAAACAAAACGGACTGCTGCGTTGTCTCCAGTTAGCCGACTTGACTGTTTTAGTTTCATTTTCACCTTTCACATTTTATCATTATATTTCTGCTACTTGTATTAAATGCAAATAATATAAATAATATAATTTTTGCAGCTCGTCATCTTTAATAAACGTTCTCACACTTACGGTTGTTGGTCTTGGCATTTTAAGTTAGTCTGAATGAAGTTCTCTGTTAAATGTTCACTCATCCGCTAGAGGGTGCCATGGTTCAACGATTCTTCCGCCAGAGAGATGATACTAACAGTACAGACGTGCAGACTTTGGCCTTTCGTATAGATTAATGAATGTGCGTAATCGTGAGCTCTGAAGGATCGTGACCTACATAGAGGTCACTGTAACCTCCAATCTCTTGATATTATATATTACATTCTGTCTACTGAAGTGATAGCAACAAAACATTAATTATTCAACATTTCCCCCATTTTTGCTTTCAAATGTAAGGTTTTGAAATCTAAATAAAGAAATAAACAACAAAATGTGTATTTGTCACCAGATATACGTGAATTTGATAAGAATTGTGAAGGAACACCACTGTGACAGAAGAATACTTATGCATACTGGACAACTTAACCATTTAACATCTGGTAAACTGTAATGAAGTTTTTAGGTCACTTCATATAATATTTACAAAAGTGAATGTTGCACAAGGGCATTTTCGAGGCAAACCTACGTAAGTCTGTAAAGAGACTGCTCAAACGTTAACAATCAGTAAACACACGAGACACCTTTTGAAAGAATGTTTTGCCGAAAAGAAAATTTGTCTTAGAATGGTTTGCTTAAAATAAATACCACTTGTCTTTTTGATGTTTTTTTCCTAACACAATAAACCTAACATTTAAGTGGGGCACAAATGTCCGAACACTTTTGAGGCCACAGCATGTGTGCTTATATCAGTCCTTTAGGTATCAGAAGTAGTGTTTCAAATTGAATCCATACAAAATGCAGAGCATTATATGTTTGATCATATGCTCACATTTAATTGGCCAGTAATAAAAATAGCTTAAACGCATCAACACTGCACATGTAGATAGCACAGACAAAGCCAAGAGAGCCTATACCAAATATATACATCTTCTCACTATACACCATACACATATACAGTGTAAGACTCACATAAGGATTAGATATTATACATAGTACTTATGTTAGGGTTAATCACATGTGCAAAACATGCTTGATTAATATACATTTTAAAATGCATGTTTTTTATTTCTTCTCTAAAACTTACACACATACACAAAAATTGCACTCTGACACACATCATATGCACATATGCATAAAGCCGAAAATACCATTACAAAGTCACAACACAAAGTTGTACAACATAAAACCAGAAAGTGCAGCATGCACACACTGACCTAAATGGTATTTGTACATAATCTCCTTTGCTCTCCATTAAGTATTTCAACAACCTCTAAGGCGTTATCAGTGGTGTTTGTGGACACAATCAATGACTGATTAGTTCTCTAATGATGCTGAATTTCAGTAATGAATGTGCTACTGTTAAAGGATTAACTCACTGAATGAAACTAAGTCATATCTACATGAACTTTACAAGGGTGTGCCAATCATTGTGTTGTGATTGGTTCTCCATAAAAATGAAATACATAATCCACAGGGCCAGTTTAACTCCATACCAACTCAGTCACTGAAAGAATCGAATGTCAAGGCCTTTGCAAGGTACTGAATGAAATTCGTCCAGCAAATGTGAAACACCATCGCTCTGGGTCTAAATATCCATGCCCCAAAAACTAGTTTTATTTTGAGAAGGGAGAGAGCTAGTGGACCCTGTTTGTGACACAGAAAAGTACTGGCTGCATACTTTGATCTTAAAATCATACTGAATCCTTTCCTCTCATGCTAAGCGCTGAAGGCATTTGTCTGTCACTTCTGCAGGAGGTGCTCCATTCTCGGGTTGATGAATGAGAAGCCAGCGAAGGCGCTCTGGTCCATTGAATCAATCAATCCTTTCTCACAGTGAGAGAGACGAGGCTTCTCACTTAAAAACTCTCGGTCAAAGTTACTACAGTCATTTGGAGCTTTCTGCAATTAGAGGAGAATAGGGGTCAGTCTCAGGACAAGGAGAGACATACACTGCTTTTAGTCTCTGCTTTGTACATTTGTGGTTACTGAAATAACAGAGCTAGTAGAGCAATGAGCAAGTAAGATGTAGAAAAAACAAAAAAAAAGTAATAAATAAAAAAAGAGTGAGATCATACCACTTTTGGTTTGAAGGGGGGTTCAATTTCTCTCCTCTCCAAAGCAGACCAGTTCACAGTCTTGAAGAATGGCTGAGCTCGAATGTTACCCACAACACCCAAACGCCGAGATGGATCTCGTTCAAATAACTGTAGACGTACATGAAGACAAAAGAAAGAGAACGTTTGAAGAGGGTGACTAATATGGTAAGTAATAATAACACAAATAACAACAGACAGAAAAGTCTCAATGTGTCATTTTTCAAATTACCTAATACACAATGAACATCTGGTTCACTTGAACCTGCTACATAGCATTGACATTACCATGTCATAAACATGTCACAGCAGATGCCCGCCATGAGCTGTCACAACAGATTACGTTTAGTCCTATAACAGAGTCATGCTACCATTACTGTTAACTGTCACATAGATATTATAATGTTGGCAAAATGTTTTGCACTTAACAATATTTACAATTGTACGCAAGCAGTCATGACACCAAACATTATGGCATCTGCCACAATAATTACCATTAATGTTAACATGACACTGTTATATTACCGAACAAAATCTGTCTTGAAAACTCAAGACCAGATATAACAACTGCCATGACAGGTTAATGGCATGGTTATGTCGATGTTATCTAGTAGGGCTCAAGTAAAGTGTTACCGACAAGCTTTACAGTTAAATTATGTGTTATGTAGAATTTGTTGTGTCTCATGTATACACAAGTGTTCATGTACCCTCTCTAGCATGTCTCTGGTATCCACAGTGATCCAGCGGGGATAGTGAGGTGTGTCCATGCGGATTGACTCAAACAGCTCATCTTCGTCATCACCATGAAATGGCGACTGACCAATCAGCATCTCATAAACAAGCACACCAAAGGACCACCAGTCCACTGAGAACGAATACTGCTGACCCAGTAAGATCTGCAACACACACACATCAAGACTTCAATGATTTGAAAGAGCCCTCTGAGCCAGACTGAAGCACTTACCGGAGTGTCAGTATTTCTACTTTCAAGTAAATGGTTTTTCAACGTATGAAGGCAGTAGAGATGCACCAATATGCTGTATATCTGATATTTATCATGCAAATATCTGCTCATGTTGATCCACACATATTTATAAAATATGAATTAGCATTACAGACAAATATAATATTTGTTTGTGTCGCCTAAACATGCTGCTCTTCTGAAGTACAACAAATATATCATCAAATTTCAGTTCAATGTCAGTCAAATCTAAACACCTATATGATAAAAAATTCTAAGCAATTATCAGCAATATGCCAACGGTGAAATGAGTTCAATGACACTGTGTTATTTCGTACCTCGGGGGCAATATAGTCTGGCGTTCCACAGAAGGTTGTGGCCAGATTGTCTCCAAACACATTCTCCTTACACATGCCAAAATCAGCTATCTTTATATGACCATCTCTATCCAACATTACATTATCCAACTTCAGATCCCTAAAAAGAGGAAAGATGGAGAGAAAGGGAGAGAGAGAGAAAATTGTGGCATTCAGGTTGTGGACTAATACAGTGAAACTATAGTATGTTACTACTAAGAGTAGGTAGCATCCTTATTGTGATACAATTTATCGCAATTCATTTTTCTGAGTTTATCATAGGTATTATCAGTACTTCAAGAACATTTTGCTCGCATCATTTAAAAGACTTACACACAGACTTAAAAGATTTACACTAATTACGGACAGCCTGAAATTAAAAACAACAACCAGTGTGTAGTAACTGCATAAGCTGCAGAATGGATGTGTCAGGCTATTGTGCTGTTATTCTATTAATTTATCTTGACAAATTACTTGGATTTCCTTTTTAATTTCCAGGAGCCCCCTTCAGGTCCAGGCTTCTTAAGAATTTAGTCAGTTTTCATTGTTTCACATGCCGTTACTGTATAATAGGCCTTTGGATGTAACAATCCTGGGAGTTTTAAGCTTGTTTTTGGAACCACTGTTTGGATGTTGCATTTTGTGGAAACAAACGTGAAACATAGAGCATATTGTGGGATGCTGTGAAAAATGTAAATAAAAACAAAATGCAATAATGTGCAAATCATTTAAACCCAATATTTCATTGAAAATGCTTCAAAGACAACATATCAAATGTTGAAACTGGGAAATTTGATTGTTTTTTGAAAAATATATGCCTATTTTGAATTTGATGCCAGCAACACCTTCCAAAAAAGTGGGGACAGGGCGACAAAAGACTAGTAAAGTTGTGTAATGCTTAAAAAAACACCTGGTAGTTAATTGACAACAGGTCAATAACATGACTGGGTATAAAATGAGCATCCCAGAGAGGCTGAGTCTTTCAGAAGTAAAGATGAGGAGGGGTTCACCACTCTGTGAAAGACTGCACGATCAAATAGTGCTACAATTCAAGAATAATGTTTTTCAACATAAAATAGCAAAAACATCTGCTTTTCATCATCTACGGTACATAATAACATTAAGATTCTGAGAATCTGGAGAAATCTCTGTATGCAAGGGACAAAGCCAAAAACCAGTATTTGCTGCCTGTGATCTTTGGGCCCTCAGATGGCACGGTATTAAAAACGGACATGATTCTGTAGTGGAAATCACTGCATGGGCTCAGGAACACTGCTGAAAAACACTGTCTACGAAAACAATCCGGGCTGCATCCACAAATGCAAGTTAAAACCCTAAAACACAAAGAAGAAACCATATATAAACAGGATTCAGAAACGCTGGCACCTTCTCTGGGTCCGAACTCATTCAAAATGGACTTAGGGGGAAGTGGAAAAGTGTTCTGTGGTCCGACAAATCAACATGTGAATTTCTTTTTTTGGAAATCATGGACACTGTGTCCTCTGGGCTAAAGACCACTCAGCTTGTTATCAGTGCATAGTTCAAAAGCCAGTATTTATGATGGTGTAGGGCTGCATTAGTGCACATGGCATGGTTGATGTGCACATCTGTGAAGGCACCATTAATGCTGAACGATATATACAGGTTTTGGCAACATATGCTGCCATCCAGATGACATCTTTTTCAGGGAAGGTCTTGCTTATTTCAGTAAGACAAGGTAAAACCACATTCTGCATGTATTACAACAGCAGTACTCCATATTAAAAGAGTACAGGTGCTAAACCGACCTGCCTGCAGTCCAGACCTGTCACCCGCTGATAACATTTTGAGGTTTATGAAATGAAAAATACAACAAATGAGCCCCCGAACTGTTGAGCAGCTAAAATCCTATGTTAAGCAAAAATGGGAAAACGCTTCACTTTCAAAACTACAGCAGTCTTCCCAGTTCCCAAACGCTTACAGAGTGCTGTTAAAAGAAGAGGTGATGAAACAGTGGTAAACATGCCCTCGTCCCAACTTTTTTGGAACATGTTGTTGGCATCAAATTCAAAATGTGCATATACACTGATCAGGCATAACAATCCTTGTTTCTACTCTCATTGTCCATTTTATCAGCTCCACTTACTATATAGGTGCACTTTGTAGTTCTACAATTACACAATTACAGACTGCAGTCCATCTGTTTCTCTGCATACTTTGTTAGGCCCCTTTTACCCTGTTCTTCAGTGGTCAGGACCCCCATGGACCCTGACAGAGCAGGTACTATTTGGGTGGTGGATAATTCTCAGCACTGCAATAACACTGACATGGTGGTGGTGTGTTAGTGTGTGTTGTGCTGGTATGAGTGGATCAGACACAGCAGAGCTGCTGGAGTTTTTAAACACCTCAGTGTCACTGCTGGACTGAGAATAGTCCACCAACCAAAAATATCCAGCCAACAGCGTCCTGTGGGCAGTGTCCTGTGACCACTGATGAAGGACTATGGGATGACCAACACAAACTGTGCATCAGCAGATGAGCTATCGTCTCTGACTTTACATCTACAAGGTGGACTGACAAGGTAGGAGTGTCTAATAGAGTGGACAGTGAGTGGACACAGTGTTTAAAAACTCCAGCAGCACTGCTGTGTCTGATCCACTCGTACCAGCACAACACACACTAACACACCACACTAACACAGTGTTACTGCAGTGCTGAAAATGATCCCCCAGCCATACAGTACCTGCTCTGTGAGGGTCCATGGGGGTCCGGACCATTAAAAAACAGGATAAAAGGGGGCTAATAAAATATGCAGAGAAACAGATGGACTACAGTCTGTAATTGTAGAACTACAAAGTGCACCTATATAGTAAGTGGAGCTGATAAAATGGACAATGAGTGTAGAAACAAGGACATAATGTTATGCCTGATCGGTGTATTAATAAAATTTCTCAGTTTTAACATTTGATATGTCGTCTTTGTACTATTTGCAATGAAATATAGGGTTCAAATGATTTGCACATCATTGAATTTTGTTTTTATTAACATTTTGCACAGCGTCCCAACTTTTTTGGAAATGGGGTTGTATTTCTGCCATATCGCCCACACTTGGGCACTACTATGTGTGCGTTGGTATGTATATCTAATCACCTGTAGATAATGCCTTTCCCATGGAGGAACTGTAGTCCACACACAATTTCTGCTCCATAGAATCTGGAAGGAAATAACAGTAGAGAACAGGTTAAGCCTGGCTGACCTGACCAGCTCATACTACAGATAAAAACAAAGCAGAACATTCCCACTGTGCAGTAGTAGTTTCAGATAAACCCAACATGATGTGTATAATGTATCACTGCTGTTGGAACAAAACCTTGCATCTCCATTTTTGTTGTTTTTCAGTTTTTGACATAATTTGAAAATACCCGTTGCCCTTTACATTGTGTGTAAATTTCATGATGAATTGACCCAGAATGAGGCCCAGAATTACTTTGAAAAAAGTCTGGTTCCACTGACTTACATTAAAAGTAAGGTATGTTTTTTCCTTTTCCTTTAAAGTTACCATTTTGGAGATGCAAAGTTTTGTTCCGACAGCAGCAATATTCATGTGTGCATTTATGGCTCACGTAGCTCTGTAGAGGTCAAAGCGTCCTTTTTCCTGTATATGGAACATCAGATCTCCTCCATTCAGATACTCCATCACAAAGAACAAGTGTTCCTAAAACAGACAGTGCAGTAAACATCATAGCGAAACATTAGTACTGACTGATGCATCTCTGTTAAAGCATGGCTATCATGCAGTGATGCCTGTTATTGCAGTATGGCAGATGGAGGAATATGTATCTGATGATGGTTTATTATCTGGGAGTGCTTTAGTAATTTCTGTGTTACCTTGGTCTGGAAGGTGGAGTAAAGGTGTGTAAGGAACGGGTTATCCCAGGCAAGCGCCAGCACACGCTTCTCCACCATGGTGCACTCTACATCATCATCCATCAACACCACGTCTTTCTTCAAAGCTTTCACTGCAAACCACTCCCCACTATCTTTCATCTCAGCCAAAAACACCTGAGAGAGAGACAAAAGACAAATGAAGACAGACAGATATACACAAAAAAAGAAAGAGACCCATGTAAAAATCTAATCCAATTTACTGTATATACCATATGTCAAAGTCTGTAGACGCCTGATCCTCTAATGTTTCTTCTGAGATCAAGGGTATCAATAGGGAGTTTGTCCGTTTTTTGTTGAAGTAACTGAAGTCTTCTAGGAAGGCTTTATACTAGATGCTGGAACATTACTGCGAGGATTTGATTGCATTTAGCCACAAGAGCATTAGTGAGCTCAGGTACTGATGTTGGATGATTAGTTCCAGATCACAAACACCGCTCCAACTTATCCCAAAGGTTTTGAATGGAGCTCCATCACTCAAGAGAACGCAGTTCCACTGCTCCATAGCCCAATGCTGGGGGGCTTTATATCCCTCTATATGACTCTTGGCATTGGGAATGCTGACCTTTAGCTCATGTGTGGCTGCTCCTGAGTGTCCCATTCTATTGGCAATGCTTTTCTCTCCCAGCATAGTTTAATGTAATGCAAAATATTGGGCTCTCTTTAACCCCTTAATAGTTTTATTACACACTTCTATAACCTAAGAATCACAGAATAATAAGCCTTAGTATGTAACAAGCCTGGGATTTTAAGGGATTGATGACAGAAAAACTAAAGTAAACAAAAAAGCATTAATTCCAGCATGTCTATCTTGTTTCTGACCAAAACCACTCAAACACAAATCAAGTCATACTTGCGACATCTGAAATCATAAGTAGAAACCTCTGAGGAGAACTTGAAGGCAACATTATTAGAATCATTTTAAACATTTCTCTGAAACCAAGTTGATTTTACATAGTTGAAAACATTACTGTCAAATGTGAAAACATAGGGCCTCAGTCACCAATCACTTTTAAGAAGAATTTTGTTCTTAAAACCCACTTTTTCACAAAGATTCTGACATTCACCAGTGTTTTCTTATTTGGGATTTGTTCTTAGGTAAGAACAGAATCTACACACACTTGAGCACAAAGCTGCAAACAATTCTGCAGTATAAGACAAAGTCATGAATCTGATGTAGACTTATACTTAGGACCTTTCTCAAGAACAAATTAAAGAAAAAACTTACAAAGTTATTGCTGAATGAGGCCCCATAACTGCAAACATTTAAATGGTACTGTAGAACTAATATACAACCGTTTGTCCAAATGTACTTTAGACATTACACTTCACTTCACTTAACATGCACAGGATACTTTATTCTGTGCACATTGCCTGTCAAGGACTAAGGACTGCTACTGTTATCAGTGTGCACTGATAATACTACATACACAAATAGTCACTGACGCTGAGGACTACCAAATGTTTGTCTTTCACCCAGTATACTGTCCGCTGTTATTGTACAGTGTTTGGTATAGTTTATTGTCTGCATTTACTGTATTTGTTGACCTTTGAGATCTTTCCTGCTGCTGTTCTGTGTTAAGGCCAAGGCCTTAACACTGACCACACATTCTGCAACCAACAATTTAATGTCTGCAGTTGTCTTTACAATGTCCAAAAAAAAACGGATCAACAAAATGAACAGGGAGAGAATATTTTAGATTATCCAAAACACAAATATGACACATAAATGAAACAATGGAAAACTGCCTGTGATCTACAGTGAGGGTGACTGTACCTTGCCAAAGCTGCCTTTGCCCAGGACCTTATGGAAGGTGAAGTGTTCAGCAGTGATGCGTGTCTGGTGCGTGATCCGAGACGGAGGACGAGGACTGGAGCCCTCCCAGAGAAGACCATACGGAGTCCCATCTGCAGAGAGGCATCATTATCATCTATGCTATATTCATCACATAGCTATAACAATTAATAATGAATACACATCACGCACATACACACAGACACATTAACACTGACCAGTGGCATCAGGTCCCGGGCTTTTGTTAAAGTCCTGGTAAACTCCAGTATCCTGTGTGTTTGGGTCAGACCGCTTTGTGGACTTCTGTGAGAGAGAAATATACACAGTGCGCATGAAGTTTTATGAACATGAAATGAAATGACTGGTTGAGATTAATATCTCTCTGTAAACAGTAAATCACAGTCACACTGACCTGGCTGACTTGAGTGAGCGCTTCTGCCAAAAGTTTCTGGTTGATCCCACACAGGTTGGCCACTTTAGTCTGGCACTTATGATGAACATTCATGCTACAATCTGAAAAAATAGCAGTTAGGAACATACACATTTAAAAAACTCAAACACGATAAAAGCAATAGTGTGTGTTATTTATATTATACTTATATTTTATACAGTCATTTGCAAAAGTTTGGGCACCCCTTGTTTTGTTGATTTTGTAAGTGAACTTAAGTATATATCCTCTACAGAGAACGCACTTCTTCACATTCTAATGCACAAATAAACAATGTTTATTTGCTGAATTCAACATATTGAAATAGTAATAAAACATAAAATGTGGCCTGTGCAAAAGTTATGGCAAGTTTTATATTGCATGTTTTCATTTTTCTTCCAATGTGTTAGTAAATAGATGCAGTAAAATGTGAAGAAAAATGCCATATTTACGTTTGTTTCCCATAGAAGATGTCTAGCTTATTTTCAGTAAGAAATTCAACAAATCGTGTTATTTGACCAGGGATATTTACTTTGTTGCATTTAACTGTATATCACATGAGGATGCATCAATCATTTACTTCTGTGGTCAGTTCCGATTCCAATTTCTTCTTAATTCTTTTTTGGCCAATTTTCTTTAGCTCAAAGTTCACACTGTGTTGTTGGCTGAATGAGCACGTTTCCAGGACTTTTTAATTTAACTGGTATTTTACAAAATTCATAAAGGAAAAAAGAACTGCCTATTCAAGTAACATCAAATAAAGTGCTACACTGAAAGTAAAAAGTGACTGGCTATTTAGTACGAGTCACACATTATTATTCTACATTATTTTGGTATAGCTGTATTCAACTACAGCATTCAAATATAGTGCAAGTGCATTTACCTGACTCGCATTAATGTCATAAAATCTGCCAACATCAAAATAATACATTGGCTGATTCTGATTGTGCATCACACATATTATACATTGTTGTCTTATATTGTTATTTTTCAGTTAATATTTTACTGTTGTTTATTTACATAACATTTTTTATTTTCTCTTATTGTATCCTATTCATTTTATTGTACTTCATATCAATCTTTTTTTTTCTTTCCTCTATATTTCTATATTTCTCTTGTCCTTCATCATTATGGGAAATACTTTTTTACATTGTAAATTTGTTTTAAAATGTTCTATGTAAATAATACACTCATCATCATCATCATAATTATTGTTGTTGTTGTTATTTTCATTCATTCATTTATTTATTCATTCATTCATCTTCTAAATTGCTTATCCTCCTGGGTCGCAGGTGGTGCTGGAGCCTATCCCAGCGGCCAATGGGCGGAAGGCAGGAAAACAATGGAAAGGCCGCCAGTTCAGTGCAGGGCAGACACACAGATACACACATTCACACACTCACACCTAGGGGCAATTTAATATCTAGCATGCTAATTAGTATTTCTCACTCACCCTCACACTTCAGTCCCTGTTTGACAAGACCCCACAGCAGACTCCCACAGTGGTCACAGAACGTGGGGCTCATGTAGTTATAGGTCTTAAAGCGGTGCGGCATGTCGATTTTGAAGCGCTCCTTCTGAAACTGTACAAGCACACATGCACACACATCACCACAATAAATGACAATACAGATCTAGACACTGTACAGGCTGTGAATGTCATACATACCACTGTGTCACGACTGTTAGCCGCCGTGCCTGTGCATCTGCCGATGATTTTGTCGATGCACTTCTTATGTATGGCTGCATTACATTCTGTAAAGACAAAAAAACAAGTTCTAGAATTCAAAGAAGCCTAAAGAAAAGACTAAATGTGCACACAATAATACTCACGTCTGCACTTGTATCCCTGCTTGTTGAGCCCCCTGAAAAAAGTAAAATACAATCAATTATGAAAAGCTATGTATGAATTTATTGTGAATTAATGTATATGTCCATTAAACGTATTATTTTAAAGATAAAGGTGTTAAAGCGTTCTTTGGAGTGATGCCATACAAGAACCAATTTTGGTTCCTGAAAGACATTTTAAATGTTAAATCCACAGGTGTTTCTAACCATCCTACCACTGCAAGAAGACAACTCTTAAATAATGCTATGGGATATAAAAGGATGTGTAGCTGTCAAGAAAATAGACAAAAGACAAGAAAACAGAAACAAAGAACAATGGACTGACCACTTCAGAGTCCAGACCTTAACATCACTGAATTTGTGTGGGATTAGTTGGATCATGAGAAGCAGACCAACGTCTAAGACTGAACTTTGGAGGTGTGGAACAATATCCCTGCAGATTTCTTAGTCATTGAGGCTTCTGTGTAATTTTATGTTAAATATGTTTTGTGGGTTTTTTCCTGACACTGAAAAATGAATAACTTAATGGCTGTTTTGATGTGTAGCGGTCCAGAAGCTGTTACTGAAAGAAGAAAATTTGCATCAAAAAAAGAAGCCACTGGTGTTCTCAGAACACTGCAGAGCCCAGACCTTGTACTTAATGGCTGTTCTGACAGGAAATTAAATAAATGAAGGGTGGTCTCTGACTTTTCAGGTTTCTGTTCTTTTCAGAGAAATTGTTTGCTGGAGTATTGCTTTCAAAAACCACCCTTAAAATGTCTGTAGGAAACCAAAAATTGTACAACAGTGCTCCAAAGGGCTGCTTTATTTTAAAGAGCGTAGGCTGTGAGCTCACAGCTGAGTCTGAGAAATGAAATGGTGTTAAACAAATGGAACCAGTTCAAAAACATTGATGCTTCTGGCTGGATTCCACCTTTATATCTAACTCTAAGACAACAGCTCATATGAGCTCTTTGTGGTGTGATTACTCACACAGACACACACAGCTCACCAGACAAAGTCTCTGCAGACAGAGCAGAAGGTGGGCTGTCTAAAGAAGGTGGCGATAAACTCATGGTTTTTGATGAAGTGGATTTTGGCCTGTTTAATGGCCCCACGACGCCGAGTCAGAGTCGGGGCTTCCTCCTCCATTACAGACTGACGAGACTCTGAGAGAGAGAGAGACAGAAAGAGATAAAAAAAAGAGAACAGAAGCAGGGAAAGGAGACAGCAGTGCATTTTTACAGTATGTAAATGCTGTTATAACATAAAGGACATGCAAACAGGGCAGAGGAGAAATCTGGAACCAAACTTGTATTCTAGTTACTTTTTACTGTATTTATGTTATGGCCAATACACACCCACTACCAAGATAAAAGGTTTTAAACAATTCATAAGTGCTTCAGACTTTTACACAGTACTGTATATTAATGGACTGCTTGGTCTTGAATAACAGTTCAATGATTATGTTATAATTTTTAACTGACTGACACTAAATACGTCCAGCATAGTGACGCACAAATCATCTGAGGCAGTGCTCACAATTATTCACCTGCTGACATGTGATATATAGCTATATAGTGTATGTTTTTAGTGTTTGAAAAAAGCGAGCAAACCTGTTAAACAGGGATTGAAGTTTTTTTTGATCGCTAAAATACTTAACTCAGCAATCATTCATCATCAGTCACTGATGTATGCATTGGTAAAAGAGGTTTTAGACAAGACATCAGATGAGAAATACATAACAAGTAAGACTGTCATTATATAAAACTGATTTAATGACAGATGTACCTACTGAGACTGTGACAATGAATTACAATGAATTCCAGAGACACCATAACCATGTGTTTCAAGACAATTTACTGCACAACAACACACCCCCGCCCAAAAAAAAAGATATTCCAAATCATTTGTTTCTTGCTTTTCGCTGCATATTCATTGAAAACAGGTGAGAACAGTGGAAAAAAACACTGTCCCAAATGATGACAAACCGGAGGCCGGAGACAGTGTTTGTCAGTAGAAGGATGTGTAATACATTTATTTAAAAAAGTCAGACTTACTTATTAGGGCTTTTTAAAATGTGTACAACGAATGCTACAGTGTGTCAACTTAGATTTAGGTTTGATCCTTTTTCCACCTTCTGCCATCAATATGCCATGAATTTTGATATCGTTTGTAACTCTTTTGTCTAAACTTCACTGGAAATTTCAGCTCAGGATGGTGTGAATGGCAAGGCCTTCTGTTTAAGCCCATCTGACACAGTCTATCCCTCTACTGATATACTGAGGTCTAGGATTTGGCATCATTTTAGACAATGTTGCCCTCCAACACTCACACTTGTGCAGCAGGAGTGTAGAAGAAAAAATCTTCTTTTTCAAAATCTTTGTTTTGTTTTTGCAGCGCTTGTACAGTTCACTGAAAATGATCTCTGTTAAGTACAGGTACCACATTGTGATATTCTTACACTTTATACTGTAAAGTATCAGCAGATAGAAGAGTAGACATACAGCACTAATGAAGGCTAAACTTGTGAAACTGAAACCTGTATTTTTCATGTTTTTGGTTGTTGTTTAGAAAGTGATTAAAAGAATTTACTCTCCTGAGTGTAAGTTGTAGTGTTTGATGATATATTAACAAAAATGAATGAATCAAAAAGTAATTCATTCTCTTGATTCTCCTTGTTCATAAGTTGTGTACTGATATACCGGACTGAGATGAGCATGTTTATAAAGTACTGTACACAATTTGTTTGAAAGTGGCATCTGTGAAGAAACACCATGCTTATCTGTGGTATCTCCAAACCACCATTTCAGAATCAGAAAGAAAACAATGTGTGCAATAGTAGCAACAAATGCTAAACATGCAGGTCTATGGAATGGACATGCAGATAAGCACAGTGCATAAGAAGAGCAGGAGTGACTAGTGCTGGGGAGGCTGAAGGGGAGAGATGCTCAGACATGCTGACTGAAAGCATTCCAGTGAAACACCCTTTAAAGACGCCCACCAGCACGCCCCAGCATATACACTCTCTACTGAGAGCCAATTATCTCCCTGTCATAGGAAACACATTTAAATCAAATTAAGAGAGCAGACAAATATGAAAGAGAAGAGACAGACAGACAGCAAGAAAGAGAGAGAGAGGAGAAAGAGAGATGAGAGAGGCAGAGAGCAAGAAAGAGAAGAGAGAGAGGAGAAAGGAGAGATGAGAGAGACACAGGTAGAGAGAGAAAGACAAAAGAAGAGAAGAAGTAAAAGAGAGAGAGAGCGAGAGAGCGAGAGAGAGAGAGAGAGAGAGAGAGAGAGAGAGAGAGAGAGAGAGAGAGAGAGAGCGAGAGAGCGAGAGTACTCATATTCATGTCTCACCTGTGTCCATATCTTCCAAGAAATACTGTACTGACATCATCACTTTTCCTGAAGGTTGAAGATCAACCTAAATGTGGAGAGAGCAGTTAGCACACACATACAACCACATACACACACACACACACACACACACACGCACACACACACACACGCACACACACACATTTACCCAGAATTCTGCACGACCGTTGGCCTTTTTGCATCGCTCTGCTAGTACAGACACGCCCACTGTCACTTCTGCTAATGGGTCCTCAGCAGTCCGCATGAGTAGCACCTGTAGGACACGCCCCTCATAAATATGTGCATCAAAACTGGAGCGCCAAGCAGGGAACATGGTGGGCTTTTTCTGAATCAAAGTCTTCCCTCGATCTAGCAAGAAAGAATGAAGAAATTAAAGGTTTTCAAGCACTGACCAGGTATTGTATACAGATAATCGGCTACTTGTTTAATAATTCAAAGTGCCACTATTCAAATACTATACTTTATACTAAATATCATATTTTATACTACACTAATAATGACTCTTAAATGGTAGAGCAAGCATCACACTGAACACTCTCTATATCAGTTAAGATGATCTTAACACTAAGTTGCTTTGGAAAACTCAGTTTGGGAAACTTAGTTTGACTGAGGCTGTTTTGACCACACTAGCAAAATAAGCCCCCAAAATAGCAACGCTAAGGCCAGTAATTTAAATGTGGAGGCTCCTCTCTACTTCCCATCAAAAGGCAGCAAATAAGTGACCAGAGGTTTAAAAACGTTGTTTGGATTTTTCAGTACTGTATAAAAATCTGAAAACATAACTAGCTCTCACACATACACAGTTGCTCACCTGTGCTGAGCGACTCCTTCATTTTGACTGCACAGAAAGGCGCCTCAGCCATCGGTGAAAGTGCACCAAGATCATAGGCATTAAACGCAATTCTCAGGAAGGGTGCCATGACAGCCACTCACACAGAGCCTGCGAAAGAGACACAACTAAGTTCATCATGTGATGGCCTGAGCCTTACTCCAAATGTTCACGACTCAACTATTCCCCAAATAAATATGAGGAGACTGAGGAGAAAATATCTGGGAAGTCACCATGGTAACCTTGAGATAACCACATGGCATGCTTTACAAAATGCGCAACTAACACCTAAGCACAAATTCATGAAGCAGTTTTCACACGTGTCATTTTAATGTGGGTGGTGTAGAGACATTTATGTCAAACATTTATAGTCTATTATTATTATTATGATTATGATTATTATTATTATTATTATTATTATTATTATTATTATAAACCCAATCCAAAAAAAGTTGAGACAGTAGATAACATGGAAATAAAAAAGAAAACAGAGATTTGTAAAAACTACTTTGACCTGTATTTAAATGAAAACAGTGCAAAGGTATTTAATAGTGTATCTTATTGACCTCATTGTTTTTTGTAAATCTACACTCATTCTGAAATTTATAACTTCAACACATTCCAAAAAAATTTGGGACAGGAGCAATTTAAGAAAAGGACTTTTGTGAAATGTTCAAATACATCTCAAACAGCTGATGCACTCATGCTTATGTGTAAAGGGAAATATCCAGGAAAGGCCTTGCACATTATAAGCAACGGTGAGTTGAGGCTACACACCTTGCAAAAATGCGTCAGCAAATAATGCAGTTCAAGAAAAATACTCCTCAATAAACAATTGCAAAGAATTTAGGTATTTCACCCTTATCAGAGCATGATATCATCAAAAGATTCAGGGAATCCTAGGAAATCTCTGTGTGTAAAGGACAAAGCCGAAAACCCAACTTAACACCAGTGACCTTAAACCTCTCAGCTGACACTACATTAAAGACTAGCATGCTTCTGTGATGAATATCACAATACAGGCTCAGGTACACTCTTACAACCTGTTGTCATTTAACACTGTTTGTCGCTGCATCCACAGTCAAAACAGTATAATGCACAATAGAAGCCTTATATCAACAATGTCTAGATACACTGCCAACTTCTCTGGGCTTGAGCTCATCTGAAATGAATTGATGCACAAATGTACTGTGGTCTGACGAATTAATCTTTCAGATTCTACATTTATAGCAGTAATGGATGTGTTCTCTGGGCCATTGAAGAAAAGGATGATCCAGATTGATGCAAGCGTATAGTTCAAAAGCCAGGGTCTGTCATGGTATGGTGTTAGTGGGTGACATCCACGTCTATGAAAGTCTGCCTATCTCTCAGAAAAAACACCAAAGTGCAAAAATAAGGTCACATACAGCTGTGCAGCCAAAGACGTGTATAACTGAAGAATGGCACGGCTTCACTGTGAAACATAGTAATTACACAAATTAGTTGGGGGGTTTACTTATTTGTTAAAAAATGCTAATACAAATCTAGTTACGATTAATATTTTTTATCTAATCCTAGTTACTTTTCCTTATTTCCTTAGTTAATACATTAAAACAGGGAGCATATCCCAAGTTCACTGAACTAATTCAAGCGTAAGCTGAACTTGAAAACTTAAGCATAAAGTTATTTAAGTGTGAACCTGCTAAGCAATGTAACAAATTTTTTTGAGGCAATAATTTTGCTTTATTTTTTATATAAAGTAAACTAATTTACGTTTACAGTGTTTCAAAACTGGATGAATTGGTGTCTTCAGTCCCTAAACGTTGTGTCCCTAAGTGTCCCCCTAAGTGTTGTTAAAAAGAAAGGTGACAGTGTTAAACATGCTCCTGTCCTACCTTTTGCTGCAGGTGTCATATTTGGAACAGGCATATATTTACAAAAAAAAAGTTCATAAGGTAAAACATCAAATATTAATAGAGGTAGCTTTGATATTCTGTTGGAGGCTACTGTGTAATTTTCTGTCAAAGACATGTTTCCTGCTTGTTTCAGACACTGAAAAGTGAATAAACTTATCTTTGTGCTGACTGGAAATTGAACAAACAATAGAGTGGTCTCTGACTTTTATACTGTTTTAGATATTTAAGGTTTGTGTTAAGAGTTCTTTTTTTCTCCTTAACAGTTTTACTTAGCTAAAACACTGTCAATAATTTTGGGGGCAGTTGTGACTAACTAGCATATAGTACAAACTATACTAACTAGCATATATCTTTAATGATCAACGGGCAGTTGATGTTGAAGCTGATTTGCTTTGTTGTACTGCTGTGTGATGAACTTGTGTGCACACGCTTTCACTTGAGCGCACAATTTCACTCAAGGCTACATTCCTCTGAATATGAACTTTAGACTTTGCCCACACTATACTGTGTAGAGAGAGAAGGGCTGGGTGTTGGCAGGAAATTGAGAGGCAAATTATGACCATGTGCATGTGGGGCAAAAGTGTATTGATACAGAGCTAAATTTACCTCATTGGAATTTTAGGCACACAGCCTTAAAGACAGATGTAACACCCACACAATTGCTCATATTCCAAATTCCTCTAGCGGTTCACCCAGAAACATGTCGAGACACACTAAACGTCAACCCAGAACTTGAAACAAGCCCTGTCATTACAACCCTTCATACCTCTGTGTGCTCTTGTATCCTCTTCAGAAAGAGGGAATGTGATTGGAAGTGTAGGTCAATAACAAAAGCTTGCTGTACAGAGCGAGATCGATTAGTAAGCAAGCCATGACAATCCCTGAGGCTCTTCAAAAAAACAACAACAAAACAGCACTAATACAAGCAGACATGCATGATTACACACCTCTATTTTTGGATGTGACTCATTTACTGCAGTACAAGAAAGAAAAGCATGCTAGAAAATGAGCATGTACACATATGAGTGGTGTTTGAGTGTGAGGAAGAAAGAAAGGTGCTGTGTAAGCAGGTGTAGATATCAGGTTGCATATGTTTCTATGGACTTGCTCAAACAGTCTGAGATGACAATGGGACAATTTGCACTGGAGCATTTTATAACAGACAGAATGTGCACAAATGCACAGTATTTGTGGGTAGGTATGTGTGCTGGTGAACTTGAGTGTGTTTATCTGTGTGAATCCAGGTGGCATGTTATGTGAGAGCTAAGTTTTTCATGTTTGTGCCAAAACGTTTTGATGAAATGAATACACAATACGCTAAAACTAATGAAAGTGCATTAGTTTTCAACAGGAGCCTCATTTATAAAAACATACTTAAATTTCATACTAAGTATGTTCTTAAGAAAAAGTTCTCAGCATTCGCATGCACATATTTATAAAAAGGAGAGCACACATTAACATATGCATGCAACATGCGATTATGTCATGGGGTTGCGATGTCTTCAACACAAATATAGCCATTTTATTTACTATTCAACACGTGTCTCCTGGGCTTTTATATGTAACATTGATCAAGGTAAAACAGTGGTAAATCTGAAAAAAATAAGTACTTTAAGGTGTATTTTGCTTTATAATGCCTCACATGTACCTCTTTGCTATGAATATAGCAACAACATAGAAAATGCCAATTTAGGCCAAAGGCTCATCTCAAAACCATTGTAAAACAGTGTCTCAGGCATCAGGCAGCGCATTCTTTTGGAGGCATTAAGCGCTTTGAATGTCTGGATCCTATCATGACATTGTGAAATGACTAAGTTTCTCTAGAATCAAGCATTTCACATCAAACCATTCTGAATGGCTTTGCTTACATCTTAGTCATTTAAGTATAAATAATCTGAGAAAAAAATCTGTGAAATTCCCCATTAAATGTCAATTTTCTTGCATAATCATTTTAAGATTAAATTTGTTAGTACGGATGTTTTATAAATGAAACCACAGGACACTCAACACATGTCTGGACCCAGTTAGCGTCAACAAAGCAATGCTTCTTAAAGCTGGTCCTGAAGAGCCTGGGCATTTTGCTGCTGAAATCACTACAATGAGGTCAATTATGGTAATTCAGCATGTTGAGCTAATTGTAGTTTTTGTATGCACCGAGAATGAATTGAAGTTTAACTGTCAAACTGTCATCCAGGGTGTCATACTGGATCTGGCATGATTTAAAGATAGAAACATGTTATAGCATATAAGATATTAGCATCAGGATCATTAAGAGTAATTAAGAGCATTAGGAGCCACTACTATTTCTGCTCACCAAGCAAACTGTCTTTCTGTCAGTTATGTTGGGTTAAGTGGGCAGGAAGTAACTATGGTGGCCCTGATGCTGCGATGAGGTGAGACAGTATAAGTCATTCAGCCACAGCAACAGGATGCCAATCTCCATAGCAACTTGTCATCGAGGTGATTATACATACTATACTAAAGGGGATACACACCAATTAACTGCAGCCTATTGCTTTCTGACAGCTGATTAAGAGCTGAATCCAACCAGCCACTGGCACTGTATCTATCAGGGCACATCACACTTTCCATTATAGGTCAACAAGCCCCACTTTTCTGACCTGACTCTGTCCTTTCCTGCACTCTATCCTATACTGCACACATGCACATGCATGTGCACACATACTCACTGATGTAAATTCTTTATGTACGTCCACCCATTTAAATCAATGACACATGCTTTGGGAAATTTCCAAATATTTTGGGATCAGACAGGGACTAAGTCTGGACTTAAACAGCATTTACCTTTCAACAGAGAATCTCCATTGCAAATGCTGTGTAGTCCAGGACTAGGCCTAATCCCTGTCTGGGAGACCAACCTCTGATGTCCAGTAGTGTGAACTGGACATTAAGTTAAATATTTGAGATGTAAAGAGTGGTTTGATGTGAAATGGGCTCATTGTAGAGAATCTTTGCAGAGAAACAATGCCAATTTAGCCATTTTATTTACTACTCAACGTGACTTACACATCTTCTGAGTTTTATACTTAATGTTAATAATAAGAAAATAGAAAAAAGTTTTCTATACCCTGCATGTACCTCTCTGCCATGAATATATATATATATATATATATATATATATATATATATATATATATATATATATATATATATATATATATATATATATATATACTGTTAAGGCCAAAACCTTCTTAAAACTATTGTACAACATTGCAGCTTTTAAAGGCTTTAAACCTTTCACACATCTGGCTCCTATTACAACCACTGTAAATGATTCTGACTTGATAAGTTTCTCTAGAATTGAGCATTTCACATCAAACCAGTCTGACTAACTTTGATTACATATTAATGATTTAATCGTGCATAAAGTTTGAAAAAATGGTCACATTTCTTGTGCTTAGGCCAACATCTAATACCAACAGTTATACATAACAGGATGTGAGCCACAGACGATACCACAGTAATATAAATTTTCTACTCATATAGATTATGTCTCCAGGAGCCTGATGAATTCTGGCGCTTGCTTGGAACTCACTATCACAGAATATCCTGGGTGTTTTTTTTTTTTTGTTGTTGTTGTTTCAGGTCTTTTCTTGATCATACCCATTTGGTCCAAAATTAACTAGATATACAAGCTAAATGCCTGGTTGGGTAGACTCTTCATAGTCTTTTGCTCTCAGTGGACCCAACACAGCCCACAACGGAGGTCAAAATGTAGAACTTTGAACTAATATGACTGACCTTGGAAGGCAAACTGAAAAAACTGAAGAAGTGAAAGAAAGTCTACTGATGGTGGAAATGGACACATGAAAATAAGTGTGCTTTATTAATATTAACATTAACTTTTCACTTAGAAGCACACTGCAAAGAACATCAGCCACGTGTCAAATGTCAAGTAGCAGGCACTTTAGGAACGAGTTGAGCCTGCAGAAATCCAGTATGTGCACCAAATTCATCTTAGAAACTAAAAAATAAATAAAAAAAAAATCTTTCAAACAGCACAGAGGATTTCTCTGATGACACATCTGGTGAGGAGGACACAAGTTTCATCGGAGAGAGCCCCTGGAGTGTCTAGTCTTTGAGCTGTTTTGCTTTTGATAGCAATGTGGGATGCTGGAGAAGAACTTCACAGCAGAGGGACTGGATTCTGCTCTCAACCCAAAGCTGCTTCTCAGCTGGGAATGAAGCCAGCCAAGTTCCAGGTGCCAGAAGTGTGTTTGCAGGCATGGCACAAAGAATTGCAGTGAAGACTGCTAGGCTGCTAAGTGGCACTGCCAGAACTCTGAACTGCAGAGGGTGTAAAAACATGCTGATGGTGGGATTTGGATGATCGCATGCACCACTTTAATGGATCCACACCACTGAATAGCACTCCAGGCTTCCTATGTAAACACCTGTGTTTCAGGCAGCTGGTATTGAGCCAGCCAAACTTTACAGAGGCTAGAAGCCAGAGCAGCTGATTGCATAAAATGAGTAGCTGGACGAAAAAAAAACAAAAAAAAAAGACAAAAAAAACAAAACAAACAAGTTTCAAGTTTACATGATTTTCCTCTCACCCCAAATGCAGTCGATCAACCAAAACATGCTAGTCTGGTCTAACGGTGCTAACATATCCTGGAAGTCAATAGTCCAGAATAGAAACCTATTCTGTAAATACATGCCCAAACCTTCTCTCAATCCACTCAAACTGCATCCACATCTTAATTAAGGTCACACAGACAATGTGGTTTAGAATACAGTCTGACTTATGTCATGTCATAATATGACTTATGATGAACTATAAAAACCAGGTAAATAAAATGGGTAATCATTTTGAATACTCCAAATCACTTCTTTCTGCAGCTCAATTTGGCATCATTCAGCGCAAGACGAACAAAGACAGGGCTAGTGGAATTCACAACACAGACAGTAGGGTAATGCAGGTAGGGAAGCTAATCAGGCGTAGGTAGAAGCTCAGCACAATGTCTGATTATGAATTTGAGGAACAGTTTTTCTGCACAAATGAGCTTCATCCGTAAATGTTTGAACCTGAAAATACACTTGAAGAAAAGTGTCCCCTTGGACAGGAACCTGGTGGTGGAAGTGCCGGGTGATGCTGACCAGGGTGTGTCTCTGCTCCTCATTTTCATAGGTTTAGCTTTCTTCCATATACAACTTGTAACTCTCTTACAGTAAGCAAGTCTTAAATATTATTGTGCTAAGATTACATCTGTGTAGCGACGTTTTATAACACGCCCTTGTGCACCAGCCTCCCAGAGTTCGAAGGTGGAACTGATCCAGAAAGCAGGACAATATGCAGACCATAATGTAGTTATACTTTTAGCTCAAATGTGTAAATAAGGTCTATCCATACCATTTCACTAGTGTTTTTTCAAACGTGTTTACACAGCTTATCAACGTAATTTGCAGCAATTATACAAAGATTTTGGCATACAGTTTGGGTGACTATTGACTTGTTAACACAATTGGCCTAGCAGCTCCAGTTCTAAACTAAAAAAGCAAAATTTGGACACCAAATATTTCTTGGCTGATCCACTGCATTTGGGGTGTCACGTAAATTTGATTTTTCACTAAATTATTTCTTTAAGCTGATCTTGCCTCAGTTTCAGGCGATGCACCCCATCCCTGAGTGGTGGCACAGAGAAGTTCCTTGGCATTGGTCTCCACAATAGCAGATTGGAACAAAGATCACAAAGTGTAACTACTACATGAGAGGTTTCCTTTAACCCCCAGACCTACAGCAATGCCATAGGACGTCTGGGAAAAGCATCAAAGAGGCCAACACAAGAACCAAATGAGGACAGGCTCTCCAGTCTGAAATATCCAGATGTTATCTTGGTTGCTAGTTCTCCAGCTACCCTCCATATTAAAGAGAAGACTCCATTAGTAAGCTCCCTCACACGGTCTCTGAAGGAAGGAACAGGAAAATCAAAAGCCTGAGGGTCCTGGTGGAAAATCATGTCATGACTTCGCAAATATGAGTAGAAGTTGTAGCCACCGTTAGATTCAAGTGACAGCAGTTAGTTCTGTGCGGAGGTGTCAACCCAGCCTTGCGGGACCTGTTTCTTCAATACTCACCTAGAGCTAGTATATCCAGATGGCTCCTGATTGCACTACAGCTGAGCCTTTTCAGCAAGGGTGCTAGTCTAGGGAAACCAGCTCCAGCAGTCCAAGCTGACAGCTGTAAGCAGGACTGCTGGTCTGGGGAAGTCATTGATAGTAGTCGTCCCATGAAGAAGAGCACTAGTCTGGGGTAACCAGCAGTAGCAAGAGGAGCTAGCAAAGTCCACATAAATCTGAGCGTGCGAGTAGGACAGGAAAGGATGCTGACTTGCTGTGCCTTACAAGAGCAATTTAAGCTGAGCTGTCATGGCAAGAGGAGAAAAGAGAACATCTTCCATGTGAGCAAGGGTATTTGTATGGCTAGATCACGTCATGTCACTGTGCGACTTTGAAGGTGTAAGAGCCCAGTTATACACAGAGAAGGAGCATCCACTGTGTTTTACATCACCTCTAGTGATCAACAGCAATGAAAAAATGAAAAAGATCTGATTTTCTTAGAGAAATGTGCCACAGATAAAGAAAAATCACATCCAAACGTGACTGACCTGACCAAAATACATTTAAAGTTCACAGCACCTGATTAAAAAAAAACTTAGTCTTGCTCTACTGCACAAAAGAAGAAATGCTTTTCAGGAAATTCCTCGTTTTGGGTAGTAGTTTCTAGACTGCTGCTGCCTACAGCTATTAGGGAAGAGCTGTTCAGAGAGACAGAGATTTGGATTTTATTCAGTCAGTTATTTATGTGCCCCAAATTTATTCTGAATCTGCTTAAACGGCCAAAAGCTTAATGCTATTCTTTGCTGCTCTGTATGGTTTAGCCCCACACAAGGAAAGTCATATCTTTTTCTCTTGCTCTATTTGTATAAGGCGACTGGGCTCTGAAGTCCTTTTCTCCTATCAAATCCTCGAAGACCACTCCTCCATTCGGACACAGAAAGATCTCAGCGCTCCTAAATCACAACGTTATCAAAACATTCAGAACTTACACCAACTCGAAACCAGTCGAGATGTTTCACTGAAAACTCACCTCTCTTAAAGGGGGAAAGTAGCGGCGTTTCTGTTGCTTCTTTCCGCCCAGTTTCTCCTTCTGTGGTTCAGCCGTTTGAGGAAGTGCAGATCGCTCGAGGACTTCTCGGCGAAGTAGGGCGGAGTGACGTCACGCCGCCCAGGTGCTCTTTTTCTCTCCCTGTTCCTTTTTTATACTCTCTCTCTTTTTCCACACGCGCGCGCTCTCGGGCTGGAGGTCCAGTCTGAAACCAGCGGATCTGCAGGTGCCTCAGTGCGCTCCGCAGTCTGTTTCAGAGATGAGGTCGTGTGTGTGCGTTCTCGCGCGCGTGTGACCTCTTCAAAGAGCGCGCGAAGGGCACCAGCTGATGCACTTTCATCACTTTCATTGACGTTGTGTCATCATTATTCTGAGAGTCGGGCTCGAACCCGAATCGACACGCTGCCGCGGGGGGTCGTGATTTGAAGTTGAATCTGCTTAGTGCAACAGGGACAATAACAGGGAAGTAGATCTGCGCTGAGTGCAGTTTGTGTAGAGAGACTGATCCACCAGGGGAGTTTTATGTATAAATGATATACACTCTTTTCCATATATATATATATATATATATATATATATGTAAACACAAACTGACCGGCCACTTTATTAAAACCACCTCCTTTATCGGCTTTCCCTAATATTGCGGAGTGCATCTGTGAGAATTTGTGCTCATTCTGTATGAAGAGCATTTAGACACTGATGTTAGACAAGAAGATCTGACTTGCAGTCACCGTTCCAGTTCATCCCAAAGGTGTTCAGTGGGGTTGAACTCAGGGCCCTGTGCAGGCGATTGGAGTTCCTCAACACCAAACTCGTCAAACCATATCTTTATGGAGCTCGCTTTGTGCACAGGGGCACAGTCATGCTGAAACAGGGAAGGACTTTCCCCAAACTGTTACCACAAAGTTGGAATAATCTAATTGGCTAAAATGTTTTTGCATGCTGTAGCATTAACATTACCCTTCACTAGAACTACCCCCAGACCATTATCCCTCCTCCACAAAACTTTACTGTTGGCACTATGCATTCTTGTAGGTAGTGTTCTCCTGGCATCCGCCAAACCCGGATTCATCCAACAGACTGCCAGATAGTGAAGTGTGATTCATCACTCCAGAAGACAGATTTCCACTGCTCCAGAGTCCAGCAGCAGCTCGCTTTACACCACTCCAACAGATGCTTTGCATTGCGCAAAGCTCCCGATGCACAGTTCTTGTGCTAATGTTGTTTTCAGAGGCAGTTTGGAACTCTGTAGTGAGTGATGCAAAAGAGGCTAGGCAGTGTTACTCACTACACACTAGTAGGGCAGAAATCTTACAAACAGACTTGTGGAGAAGGTGGCATCGTAGGATAGTGCCACTTTTAAAGTCACTGAGCTCTACTGTACGACTCACTCTACTGCTATTGCGTGTATAGGGAGGTTGAATGGCTATGTGCTTGATTTTATACACCTGTTAGCAATGGATGTGGCTGAAACACTTGAACTCAATAATTAGGAGGATTTATTAGTGTCCACATACTTTTGGCCATATTGTGAATATACACCTGCTTAGCCTGTAGGTTAGCCCAACCAATTCACCATATAAGGAGGGTTTCAACCTGAACTTTTTTTGAATGTGGCAAATGGAAGACAGCCAATCAGAGCTGAGGTCATTTATATATATCAGTCATAATGACACAGTAATGGATAAAGAGAGGTTGGAAAATGTCTGTTTTTGACACATAAACACATATTCTCTCTCTCTCTCTCTCTCTCTCTCTCTCTCTCTCTCTCTCTCTCTCTCTCTCTCTCTCTCATCTAACCTTGCTACATGTGGTCAGAGTGGTAAGAATGTGGTTTGCATCTTTCTGTATACATGTATCTGTGTGCATGCCTACAAAAATGTAATATGTTGAAAGATATTATTATGTATTCTATTATATATGCACATACATGCAACATATATGCAGTATATTCCATTTTTCTCTGGGTGTGTACATGTGAGCAGCGCTGTCCTGCTTTTCCTCCCTGTATGTCCGCAGTGCTGGAGTGTATGGCCTAGATTTAAGTGTGTGGGTGAGAAAAGCACAATCTGTGAGTGTGTGCATGTGTGTTTAGATGTTTGGCGCAGAACTGGGGGTGGTAAGGGGGCTGTTTTGGCTTTCAGAGCTGTTCCCCAGCTGAACTGGCAGCGTCATATTAAATAACAAACACACACACATACTATGCTGATATTGAACACAGATTAGTAAAAACTGGAAGAAAACCACACACCAACACGACAGCTATGACAGCATCTTCATTAATGCAAATAGAAGAAAGTGTACTTACTGCTCACTGCAACTGTTTCATAATACTGTAAAAAAGATCTTAAAGATGAAGTCAATCATAAATAATACATAAAGATATGGTAAATAGTCAAAAGATTGGTCACTAACCTTACATGAAAGTTGATAACCAACAGAATCAAAATCAGTCAAAGTGTGGGAATTTGCCTTGATGCAATTGGTGCATTCACATAAATGGAAAATACAGAATTAAAATACACTGTAAAATTATTTGTCCATTCAGCCTAAATGGCCTAAATTACCAAAATTAAATTATTTTTTTTAAAAAGTATTTTTTAGGTTGAACAGACAAAGCATTTTTACAATGTACAATGTAAATGTACATTGTAATTATTATAATGTAAATAAATAACACATTTAAAGTAAATAACACAGGGTATATTAAACAACAGTACAGACCAATATAGGTTTGTAACATTAGTCACAACTTTACTGTTTTTAAATCACCAAAAGTCCCACCTTCCAGATTTTGACCAGGTCATCGTTAATGGTCTGAATGTCACAATCAATACCATGAGCTACTGGAGCTCAGTAATGAAGGCCATGGTGAATGTGCTCACAGCCAGAGTTGGGATTTAGTGGAACAGAGGTATTGACAATAAACTCTCAGAATACATAGATGAAGGATCTGTATTCAATCCACATTACAAATGGTATTCAGAATTGAGTTAACTGTGAAAATGTTAGCAAAATATTTCAGTAAAAAATATTTTTTAAATAAACACTGTCAGTGCTTATTATCTGTTTTAAACTCAGTGCATAATATGTAGCAACAGTTTCTTTACAAATACTGAAATACTAAAGCCCAAGTAGATTGATAAATCAACATGAGCCAGTTGTGTTACTGGGCTGTTTCAGGAAAATTGCATACATGCACGACACTACATACACGTCATTACCTGAAAATCACTCGCTTCATGTTCAGATTTGGAAGAATTTTGTTACTGAAATATGGTGAATTATTTATAATTTTTTTATTCTTTAGTGTAGTGAGTTTAGCAAAAGTAGGACAGTGTACTTTTTAAATTTACCAAAAAGTTTTGCCACTTGTCCCCCACTTTTGCTGACTTCATGAGACAGTCAGCAGTCCTGTTTGGGGGATTGGAGCAGCAGCAGTGGAATGAGCAGACAATGAGATGCTTTAATTTAATTTCATTAGAATGGTATGTGAATTTGCCATTAAAAATATTTATAGAATAATTACAGCAAGGAACAGTGTGAAATACTAAAAAATTACAACAACATAGTTTTTCCTATATGCCTTGTCAAGATGTATTCTAAATGTATTCTGAATAGGTTGTATATATAGGATGTTTAGGATGTATACAGCTTTTCATTTTTATGGAACTGTATGCATGCATAAGATTTGGAGCAGCTTAAAAAGTCAAATGTACTACTTTATATATACTATAGTATGATGTAAACACCAGGCAAAAAGATGTAATATACAACAGGCACAACTGCACTCATCTCATCTTTCTGTAGTACTTCATTAGTAGGTGCATAAAGCCACATAGATTTTCACCTGCCGCTGCAGTCTGCCATGAATGTAGTACAGCAACGGAACAAGCTCTCGAAATGAGTCCAGACTAAGCTGGATGCAAATGTCACCCACTCATTCACGTTGGAGAAAGGAGTCTGAAAGTGTGAATCTTAGTCCATGCAACTTTTACTCTGTGATTCTTTTAAACCAGGTTTAATGTGCTGGAACTTAAACAGCATTCATTGTTACATAAGCTCTGTAACACGTACACACACACACACACACACACACACACACACACACACACACACTCACACACAGTTTGGAGTGTTCTATAAACAACATTCTGCGCAGGACAGTTGAGCGATGTTATCTATGTGTAAACTCAGCGACAGAACAGAAGAACCCACCTCTCCTTCTCTACCTCTCAGAGAAAGAGAAAGATTTCTCCTCCAATTCAGTTAGAGAGGAATAGTGGAGGAGTTTTACAAACCCTAGAGAGTACTGGAACATGGTTAGAGTGAAACAGAATAAGCAGAGTCTAGAACAGGCTGAAATTTGAGTGGGAGTGGAGGTCTTAAGTACAGAAGCGCATTATTAGTAACAGGCTAAGAATAAATCTGTGGAATCACCAGACTGAAAAAGGCCTTTGAACAACTAGAATCCTACATGCTCACAACTTACACATGCACTCATATGAAGGTCCTATAAAGGGTTCTTTGGAAAGAACCACCTTTGGTTCCCCAAAGAACCTTTTGATAAAGCAGTTTTAGTTAAAAGGTTCTCTAGGCAACTAAAGGAGGTTCATCTATGGCATCACTTTAACAATATCCTTTTGTTTTGAGAGTGAAAGAGTGGCAATCCTTGACTGAGTTGACCTCTTTAAGTTTAAGTAATCCAAATGTTTCTAACATTTAGAAATAATGTTTAAAGAAAATCACTTAATATTTGTGGCTTATGACTGACTATTAAAGTGGAATTACACCAATATTTTAAAATGTCAACATAATTGAATTGTTGAGATGTAAACAGAATAATTCAGAGTGGTGTGATGTGAAGTGGTTCATTGTAAAGAAATTTACCAAAGCAATTTTCTGTACAATAATGGTGATAGGAATCAACCCTCATAATGTCCACAATGCAAATATACCTATTTCATTTACTATTCAAAACCAGTAAACCTGCATTTTTTTCATGATAGATATTGTTGAGAGTGGGCTTTACACTTACGGGAAATACCAGTGCTGTATTATGAATTTATAATTTATTTAATACCATCTTTATTAGAGAAATAAAAAATATGTTTTCCCATATACACCGGCTGCTATTATTTCCAAAAACTCTTATATCCAAAATTGTTACAAATAGATACACAGCATTTTGGAATGAAACTCTTCATATGTAAATGTTGGTAATGTTAAAATAGTATAAGTA